GTCAAAAGTCAAGCAAAAATTGGACTGATATTGGGCACTATTTCAAGCACAATTTTTTGAGACGTAAATTGTACCTATAGCTCGTTCGATATTCGCGCACTGAGGTGAGTATGCTGGGCGTAGAACCTACGCCCAGCATACTCACTGAACGAAGCCTATAACTCCGAAGTTATTCGAGCACTGTTTTTTCTTTTTGGGCACCGTTTGGCACTATTTGGGAACTATTTTTTGAAGTATGAATTATGTTTGAAGCGTATACAGATTCTCCGGACGGAGGTGAGTATGCTGGGCGAAACCTTCGTCCAGCATACTCATCGAACTATGGCTATAACTTCGCAAGTACAAGAGCACTATTTTTTTCCTTTGGGCACTATTTAGCACTATTTCAGAACAGTTTTTTGACATTCATGAAATATCAGGATTCCATGGTGAGTATGCTGGACGAAGGGACACTAAATGCGCTGGGGACCGAATGGGAAAGTTTTCTACCACCAAGTATTGCCAGGCGGCAAATTGATCATCACGCGTTCCCGCAAATTACGTTTCGCAAAAAGGCGCACCCATTCTAGGGTTAACACAGCTGTGAGTGAGACATGTATTTGTAAATGCACTCACAACACAGAAGAAAATCTCAGTATGGAAAAACAATTCCATGTCATGATAAATTTTTCTCACACCAGTATCTTCTCCTCTCTCTTAGAGAGAAGAGAGCTTCTCTATAAAGCAGGTAAATCGCTGCAGAGTTTAATATGCTTTACGAGAATTTGTGAATTTGTACTGTGTTTAATATTGAAATGTGTTTCGTACATTGGTAGTGGCCCATTTCAGTCTTATGTAACTATAATATGATAAGATATCTTCATAAATAGTAGGATGGAATGAATAAAATAGGAAAGGGTCCACTGAATAACGAATGTCCTTAATTTAATAATTTTACGAGAAATGGTTCTCAAGCGGCGAAAAAAAACGCAATTGTTGGTGATAACAAATATGTTTATTCAAATTAAACTTAAATAAACAAAAAGGGGTGTAGATAGATACAACAAAAAATGTAATAACATGTTTTTTCCCGAATTAATCTACCATGCAACGATTACATTTAAATCTTATATCCCTTACACTAATTAATTAATTATTAATAATTATTATATTTTAGCCGCATTCTTTTGGAACTGCAAGGCCCAGCGCACAACGGCGAAAGCGCGGCGAAGATACCGAGACTAAATCAATTTAAATAAATCCGTAAATATGCCACAGTAGCTTAGGTTTATATTAAATTGATTTATTTTCAATAATATCTTGCGCGCGCCTCCGTCGGTGTGCGCTAGGCCTATCAGCGTGACGTAATGCCCCTCTAGGCAACATGTCATTTTGACGTTTGACATTTGTGACATAAACAATTCGCGTAGAATGCTGTTTAGAGGAGCAATACGTCATTGATACCACGTCAGAAATTAGCGGCATATAACACAAAATAATTTTGAAAATGTAATATTAGAATTTTCTAATTATTTTAGCCAATATATAATTATGTTATTCATAACGACTAATCTACATTCGTATATATTTAAAAAAATGTCTACACCCCTGTTTCAATCAAAGTGCAGTCTTTATTGAGAGATTTACGACAACAGTGATGAATGTCCACAGCATAGGTTTCAGTTGTTATGACATCCAAATTATTAAGGACAATCATAACATCCACGAACGATTAACTAGTAATTTACACATAAAAGTAACAACTTACCGTCAGTTGTTATCAGATTTAAAACTAAACTAAATTATTCCGACTATTCCTATCTGATCACACTAAAAAGAGACACCGAAACTACACTTAGGTAACTGAACGCCAAGCATAAATAACTATCGCATACTGTTTGCTATCAAAATGTATAATAGGCTTCCAAATGACCTAAAAAATATTAACGTCATCAGAAAAAAATCATTTAAGTTTCTTTTAAATAATTGTTTTATTAAACAAAAGAATTTCTTAATGACAATGATTACATGAACATTATTGTAGAATAGTGCATAATATTTATAAATAGAAAATAACTCTTTATAGTTACTGTCGACATACTAAATTAATTAAAAATAAACAAACATTACAAAATCACAATAGGTGTTTTATGTCAATTAATGTCATACATTCTACCGAATAGGTGTACAAATAATAGACTTATTTTCTAAAAATCGCGGGTTACTTACGTGTATATACTGAGAAAAGCTCTACTAGTTTCAAACCACAGAGGGGTTCTTCGTCATAAGCAGCGTGCGCAGTCGCGCAGCCCACTCTTTCGAGTCTCTTGAGTACTCTTTTCAAGTAGGCTCTTTTAGTTCTCGCTTTTAGTGACTCTATTGAGTAGGCTGCGCGACATCGCCGCGACTGCGCACGCTGCTCATGAGGAAGAACCTTCTGTGGTTTGAAACTACTAGAGCTTTTAATCAGTATAATACGTAAGTAGTCCGCGATTTTTAGAAAATAAATCTATTATTTGTACACCGATTCGGTAGAATGACATTAATTGACATAAAACACTTATTGTAACTACATTCTGACAAATAAATGTTTCTTTATTTCGTAACATAACTTAGTAATATCGAGCGCGTTCTGCGCTCTGAGGCCTTAGTACGAGTTTGTTTTACGTTTAAAGTAATCGTACCGAGTACACGTTCGGCGCTGTGATTGGTTGCTTCATTAGTGCCGGCCAATCAGAGTGCCGAACGCGTACTCGTTTCGAATACTTTAAACGTAAATCAAACTCGTACTAAGGCCTCTGATTGGCCGGCTTCAGTGAACCAACTAATCAAAGCGCCCAACGCGCTCAATACGATTACAGTACGAATGCAATAGTTATTCGTGCTTGGCTCTTTGTAGTCTCTTTCTCTCAATACTAGAAATAGTTTTTGCCTAGTTACAGAGATGATATTGGAACGCGGTAACTGTCATTTCATTAAACATTCTAATTACGTACTCGTTTATAATCCATGTAGGTACATGTTTCCTGTTTTTGGGTCGGAAATATATATATATTTTAATTACTTGAAATGTAATGTTTGGACGTTCATCATTATTGCAGTGGACCCTTCATATTATTAGGTACTATGAGTGAGAGATCATTATGTTACTATGTATTACAGTATGTAATGTTTTGTTCGACTTACTAACCCTCCCAGGTTAGGTAAGGCTGAACCGGGTGAGGTGATGAAGTTCGTGAGAGATTTGGATTATCAGACAGACTCGAGGTAAAATATAAAGCCAAAAAATTGCTTACTTTTTCTATGCCATCGTATGTCGGGTCGTATTGACTCTTAGGCATCCAAATCTTAACATCTTTGTCGAGCCCGCTAGTCGCCAGCACTGGACATTTCGGGTGGGATTCTATGCAATTGACCTGAAATTAGAAACATATATTTCAATAATAGACCTTATTATTTGTGGCTATATAATGTCGTCTCGTCAAATATAAATATACCATCAATGAAATTATCGTATAACTGAACATAACATAACATCAAGCCTTTTTATCCCCGAAGGAGTAGGCAGAGGTGCACATTACGGCACTTACCATCACTGTACAATCTAACACCCACTTTTCACTATTTATGTAAAGAGTCCCATGTAATAGGGGGTGAGCCTATAGCCATATACTATTCTATATACTATTCCAGACTCCGTGCTATTACTGAGCATTTTTTTAAAACACTAATACTTTGTCCAACCCGGGAATCGAACCCAAAACACTTTACTCGGTAGTCGCACTTGCAACCACTCGGCCAACGAGGCAGTCGTATAACTGATAGATAGTAAAATAATTATTGATATTGCCACAAATAAAAATATATCTTTATATTATGACTAGTTACTTCCGCGCGGTTTTACTCTCTCTACTCGGCGCCTATTAATCGTAGCGTAATATTTTATAGCACATAGCCTTCCTTGATAAATGGCCTATCCAAAACAGAAATATTTTTTCAAATCGGACCAGCAGTTTCGGAGATTAGCGCGTTCAAACAAACAAACAAACAAAAAAACAAACTCTTCAGCTTTATAATATTAGTATAGATATTGAACCTATAATATCAGTAAAATACAATAACCATTTGTTTCTTTAACTTGTAAGCTCTTTAAGTCTATCATATATTACTATAAATATTTAATAGATTTTCGAATAGCGGCAGAGAGCACTGAAATACCCAAGCACTGAATAGACTAGACAGATCACGGTCAACGACCCCACAACAATAACCTACGTGACAATTAGCTCATACAAAATGTATGGAATAATCACGACGTTTTACAAAATCTACCAATTACCATTAATATGTGATACAGGTCTGAGTGTGAGGTGTGAGCAAAAATAGCTTCACTATATTTTTTTTTGTTGACGTTCAAATGCGCCTTCCTGGTCTAATTGAAATGATTTTTAGAATTTTTACTTTGAATTTGGTCTGTGTGTATTTCACTTATTTACATTCAACACAAGCCTTTATGTTTAACCGAATTGAAAAAAAATAATAATAATAAAATAAAATAAAATTTATTCATAATTAAAAAATGCAAAATACAAAATATGTTTCAAGTACCTAAGTAAGATAATTGATCTCATGAAGTTAGATGCCTGATTTCAAAAAAAGAATGAGGTTCGCAATTTGACCTGATTGTACGTGTATATGTCAGAGCGCGATTGGCTGAACCGATTTGATGCGATTTTCAGATGGGTTTGTTACACTTACGATAAGGTTTTAGTATATTAATTAACAGACTTCAAAAAAAGAGAGGGTTATAGTTGTTTTTACCGACTTAAAAAAAAAGGAGGAGGTACTATGTTCGGCTGACTGTATTTTTTTTTATTTTTGTTCGCGCATTATTCCGCCATTTGTGAACCGATTTCCAAAATTCTTGTTTTGTTTGAAATGGTATACACCGAGCCGAGAGCTTATGGCGCCGACTGCTTACCCATCAGTGAGTGGGTAACCTATCAGTAATAATAACAGTTATTTTTGCTTTCTAGTTTTGACTTTTTGTTTGTTATTAGTTTTTTGTTTTTCGAAGTCGGTTTTTAAACGCAGTTTTATTTTATTATTTCAACGTCCTTGTTATGTCCGGTAGTTTAAAATGTTATAAAAAATGTCTGCTAATGTAAGAAATTACTATAGGTTGCAATTATTTATTAGACTTTGATTTAACTGTTCCCTTTTTCCCCAGTAACTATTATATTCTGCATTAAACCTTTATATAATAAATACATACAATAACACTTCATTACTTGATTACACAGCTTGCAACAAATACTCACGACTCCGTTCAGATCTCCGACTAACCACTGCACAATAGACTCCGTCTTCTTGTCCCAGATATAAATATAGGAGCAATCGGACCCAGAGACCACGTATTCGCTCTTCGGTCCATAGAACGCCACGCCTTTGAACGTCGCACTGTTGCGATGTCCACTGAACCGATGTGTGTAGCCTACAGTCTCACGTTCACTTGTGTTGGTCCTAAAACACATTATTGTATTGTTAATAGACATCAAGATGAAACAAAAAGACTACTTAATATTAGAAGTGACAAGATGACAGGGTATGACAATTAAAAATCTATATAATTAGGTAATGAATAAAATATTAGACACGTATTTTTTTTATTCTGTCGTGTAAGAAAACAATTCTTAGATAAAACGAATCAAAGTTTAGGAGTGGGAGTGAAAAAGTCATTTCTAAATATAAGTGACTTAGTAGACTTAGGGCCTGAGCAGCGTGCACCGACGCTACTCATGAAGAAGAGTCCGTCTGTAACTCGAAACTAGTAGAACTTTTCTCATTTTACGTGAGTAACGGCTAATTTTCCAATGCCAGATAAATTGTATCTGAGAAGTAACTTTAAATATTTGTCAATTTTTTGCATACTAAATAATACTGTCAAATAACAATTTTATTCATCAGTTAATGATGATTCAAAAACGACCCTAAACCGGTATTTTAAATTACCTTAGCATGTCTTACGATAGTCATTATACAAAATGACTTAAATCCTATAGAAAGAAAATGAAAAGGAATTTAAAACTACTTACTTATCAACCATAACATCCTTTTTGACATCAAACAGGTAAATATCCTCATCATTATAGGAGCCGACAATTTCAGTTCCGTTGTGGTTATAAACTGCGCAGGTGAGGTGCATCATAGACAACCGAACTTTTCTTCTCACCGTTCCCTGGAATAGTTTAGCCTGTGCTCATTAGCCTGCTGTTTTACAGAGTTTCTTGAATCATAATTTATGTTCAATGCATGCTACTAGCTTCTGTCTGCGACTTTGTCCGTGGCACCAAGGTAAAAAGTAACCTATTTCCTATTCCTGAATATAATAATTAATCTATCTTTGTGCCCAATTCCATTAAAATGTTTTTAATAATTTATGCATGAATGAACGAGTAACAAACAGACATACAGCCATGCACCCTCACAAACTATCACATTTATAATATTAGTAGGATTCGCAAATATGATATCCATGCTCGTAGCTTCTTTGAACAAAAAAGAGGCTTTTGTCCGACTGTGACTCTGTTCCACCGGAGTGATGTGGTATCACGGAACAACGCATTCGTCGTGTTTCGTCGTGTGAGCGAGGTCAATGAAGACCTAAATCCTCCCCCATTCCCAATTTTCCATTCCCTTAAAGACCAATAACGCACTTGTATCTGCTCAAGTGTAGCGGGTATCCATCGGCGACGCTGATTGCTTACCACCAGGTTATCCGTCTGCTGGTTTTCCGGCGTACGCTATAAAGAAAAATAAAAAAATTACAATTTATTTTGAAAGATCTTAATAGTGATCGTTATTTTTGTAATGCATTGTAACAATTCTAATAGTCTAATTAACACATAACGTCGTAATGAAATGATATGTATTATGAAAGGATATTTATTTCTGCGGATGAGTTACAAAGTAACCTTTATACCTAACACTTATACATGTCAATCTTCAAATTACTAGATGACGCCGGCATTATTTATCGGACTACTCTGCGAAGAAACGCCGAAACAAAATCGGAGGCCGTAGTCTCCTTTAAAGTCCAGACAAATAATCGCACAGAACTTTTACTTCATGTGCGAACTGGATAAAGATATATTAATTATTATTTCTCTTGGCTATGCTCATATTTTGGGGTCAACTTTGAGACTAGATTCTTAAGCAGATTTCGTTAAATTTCAAAGCAATGTCTTTAGAAATAACAGTCCCCCTAAAAGGACTCAAGGTAGTCCTATTCCTGAAGTATGTTAACTATAACAACAACATATCTACTGCCATAGTAAAAAAAACTACAAATTACTATATTGATATAAATATTAGAAACTTACTGAGTTCTCGCTGAATGAGGCTGGGCAGAAGTAGCCAATTGGTTTAGTGCACTTTCGTCGGTCGTAGAGTCTCACATATTTGTCCCTGCCGGCCACTATGAAGTACTGGGTCTCTATTGGGTGCCCGCATACACTGTATAGCGGGATCACCACCGAACGATCCTTCAGTTGTAATAGTCTACAAAGAAAATATGTATTGGTTAGTTGGAACTTTGTTTTTGATAATAATAGTATAAGTAAGTATAATATAACACTCAATATTTTGTTAGGTAAGTAGTCGCAAACGAGACTGTCGAACTAAGGGCCGAACCCCTTGTCCCGTGTCGGCAATATTTATTATTATGATCTTCGGTCTTCGAAAGTTCTTACAATGGTATTCCGGATTTGAGCCAGAGATACTGCAAAATACCTACTCCTCTTTTTCTGGACTGATAAGTAACGAAAAGCGAGTATTACATGCAATATCTCTGCTTACCGTTTAAGAAAATAAAAGTATTTATGTAATATATTCAAATGTAAGGTATCTAAAAAATATAATAATGAATGACACACATGAACTAAATAGTATTTAGTTTGGCTTTATATTCCGTTCTCTGAATGCTACTTTAACAGCTACGATAGGGGTTGTATTGTTCTGACATTGGATAATGAAATTGCATTGAGATTGGTTTTAAAAGTAAAGCACCCTGGTCAAAAATACTCTTTACTTGAGAACCTACACGCTATTGAATTTATTACAAGCATTTCCAAATATTAACCTGGAAGGATGTTCAGCTCTGACATCACTCTGCATTACAAGACCGTCCTCTCCTGCAGATAAAACAATATGCGGCTCGTAAGCAGACACGTGCAATTTATGCGCGGCGCGGGAGTGCGAGCACAACTTGCGACGAGCTGCGTTGGCTCCGCCGCTCGGGTGGGATTGGAGGAGACGAACCTATTAAGAGTACATACATTTTAATATTGTAACATAACATAACATCACGCCTTTTATCCCCGAAGGGGTAGGCAGAGGTGCACATTATACCACTTTACAATGTAACACCCACTGTTCACTATTTATGTTATGAGTCCCATGTAATAGGGGGTGAGCCTGTTGCCATATACCGGGCATAATTCCAGACTCCGTGCCACTGCTGAGAATTTTTTAAAAACCCATTAATACTTTGCCCGACCCGGGAATCGAACCCGAGACCCCTTGCCGTGGCAGTTGCACTTGCGACCACTCGGCCAAGGAGGCAGTAATAATATGTTATTTACTTATTATGAAAATAAAAAGTGCAAATCAAAGGTAATATGTTTACTCATCTAGTTAAAAGGAGTAATAAGCAATCAGCGATCCCGCATCGCCCAGGAACGGGAGTCCATTTCCGATATCACATAAGTTACAAGTGTGATTAACTAAAAATCGGGGGTTACTCACGAGAATATACTGAGAAAAGCTCTACTAGTTTCGAACCACAGAGGGGTTCTTCCTCATGAGCAGCGTGCGCGATCGCGGCGACGTCGCGCGATACTGCCGTGAGTAACCCGCGAATTTTAGTCAATTTAGTATGTCTCACGATAGCTATTATAAAAACATGCAAGTGTGATGTTTAGAAATAAACTCGTAAATAAATAAAACTAATGATTAATTAATAATTATGATGTTTTATCTCACCTGTCCATCCCTAGCACATGTGACAATATTCACTTGACTCTTGCCATTAAGATATAGGAACTTGCTTTGAAACACATTGGATTTGTGGCCTGTTTTGATTGTAGACAAGGCTTTGTTACGAGCCCAATCCCATAACACTACGTTTGTATCATCTGACCCTGACGCTAGGAGTTGACCTGAAAATGGGAAAATTTTTGTTACATTTGTAATTGCTGCAGAGCTCCGTGATCGGTACCGACGATTCGCTGGATGAATTCACAGGCAACAAGTGCTGTAGGTTTCTTAAGTAGGCAACTTTTCTGTTGGTATCTAAAGTCTGACAATTTAGGTAAAGCTAGAAACTTCAAAAAATCTAATATGCAGTCAAATCTGGTTAGAACTCAGTACTGAGTCCAAAAACTGAGTAAGTAAGAATAGGTGCTTCATTTAGTTCTTGTGATTTTCTTCAAACTAATGGAAGACTCGACCACTGGTCGCGGAGAATTATTGCGATTTTAGAAAATGATTAGTACCGCAGTGAAATGGAATGGAACAAAGATTGAAATTGTTCAATATTTGAAATTCTCAGTAGCAGCATGGAGTCTGGAATTGTACACGATGAACAGTAGCAGATTATCCTCTATTATCGTCGTGTCGATGCGTTGTTCCATTGCAACGACGCAATACAGCGCAACAGACAAGTTTAATGTCTTGAACATCAGCCACATTACAAACAAGCATGACATTATGTATCTCAATTTTAAATAAACTGTCTTACCTTCAGGATGAAAATTAATGCAATTCACACAGCCTCTGTGTTTATTGAGATTGTGTAACTTCTTCAGTCTGTATACCGCATGTAGGGATCCGTAGAACCTGCTCTCGAACACGGCGTGGTCTTGCGCGGTCTTGCCGCAGGGAAATGTCAGCCCCATCTCCCGGTTCATTATTTCTGTTAAAATACAATAGTTCACGGTTATGAGGCACCGAACGTAAAGCCATGCCAATAAATGAGAATGGAAAGAAATCTAAAGAAGATCAATGAATCAGATTTCGTTAAAGGTAGTGCTAAATATTACCATGTAAAGTAGCTTTGAAAATTAAGATATTGCACAGTACAGAAAAAAGTACCTCTGAGTAGCAAATAGCTGTGTTTAGGTCTGGCTTTGAGTAACACAGGTGGTATTGAGGCCTCAGTGTCTTCGGTGGCATCATTTTCCAAAGTCCGATTTGCAGGAGCCTCATCATCAGTGTCTGAGTCTCCGGATGGAATCCCCAAAATATTGTCTGAAGCAAAGCTCCCAGGAGTATCTGAAGAGCTTGATGAACTGTTGACAAATAATTTTATTAAAGAACAAACAATTTGGGTAAGTTGTGAATCTTTAATTGAATACACTGTGAAACATGTCACCAGGGTAACAAAGTTTAAAAAATATATAATCCTGTGTTTGGACTTCTGAATGAATGAACTAGGTAATCATAGTATGGTATTAAGAAAATTATTGTCATGTCATATCATTATTATTTCATGTGCACTTTATCACCATGATGATGAAGCAAATATCAAACTAATAGCAAATTAAGATGATAAACACTTCATTTTACAATTGTTACAAAAATATTACACAATATTTTTGATATTGTTTATGATAAAAAGAATGGAAGCGAAAACTCTCTCCCTCTTGATCATAATAATATCAAGAATAAGAAATTAAATATTTATTGAATAGCTTAAAAATTATCGATTTTATTTATCATTTTGAATTCATTCTGTTGTGTGACACTGCAGTAACATTCAAAAAATTTATAAGGTAGATGTAAATCCAGAAACAATTTTTGCAATATCATAATACATTTTATATATATTACTATTGCTGATGGGGTTATCATTACCAATCACAAGGTTATCAATCAGGTCACACTATGTTAAAAGGCAAAAATAATTTTAAACAAATTAAGTTCATATAAAAATATGATTTGTATTAATTTGGACATTTTAATATTTGTTATAAATAGATGCAAATTACTTACGCACTATTACTGTGACAACTCATATCAGACTCAGGAGTAAGGAAGTCAGCCAACCTCCTAATATCATGTTCACTCTCTGTTTCGGAGTTTGTGTTGGTATTAGAAGTATCATTAGCTCCTGAAGGGGTAGTAGTCTCATCTACAGATAAATCATCAGAGTCCCTTGAAGAGTCACTGTCTGAATCTCTGCCAGGCGTCTTGCGTTTCCTATAATTTCTACTCCACTTAGGACGTTTAATATTCAATAGGATCGCACGGACATTACTGCTGGAAGGCGCTACGATCACCTCCTCGTTCGATGGGCCCTGCACCGGTGCTGGAGCACCCTCAGCACGCTCAGCACGGTCGTCGCTACTAGTGCTCTCGGACTTATCCGCCGACACTCCACTGTCCACATTCTCATCTTTACTCTCCGACACAACTATAAAAAAAACATCAAAATGGACTCCAACTTTTTACGTCACAATTTTTAATAGTTAAAAATGAAAGAATGTTTACCAGTTTCCTTGACACTATCTTGCGAACTTCCATCGTTAAGTTTTATCTTTTTTCCTCCGGACTTGGGTCCAGTAGATGAGGAAGGAATTTCGTCATCGCTCGAGGAATTATCTTCCATTGCTGCTTCTTACGATGAAAACAATAATCTACAATGTACTTAAAGCGAAGTTGAAAAGAAATATAGCAACGCAACAGAACTTCAGCTTATTTAATGAAACAATTTTCAAAAGTAAACTGAGGCTGATTGTGAGTATTCAATGGAGGATTTTTCCAAAATTTTAGTGAGCGTTTTTGGCAACAAGAACAAGGACAAAAATAATGGTGTTACCATTATAGAAAAACGAATATTGTAGGTTTTTTGATATAGGTTTATTTCCATAGCAGATAACTTGAGTGAGGCTGATAGAACTAAAAATATAGAATGAACTGCAAGAAAATAAAATCTTGAACAATTGTGCCTTGGAGGTTTTCTTCAATTTCTTTGTCATATTAAAATTAATTATCTACTGTTATATGAAGGCCTTCCTTTCTCCTGAAGAGTCTAAGGAACGAGGGTTTACTTCAAACCATGAATGAGAATGCCCAACGCCCAAAAAATCCCAAAGCCCAGAGTCGATTAAAATCTTTCACGGACAATATAATAGACCACAAGGTCACCACTGATATAACAGGACACAAACAAAACCAGCTTGCTAAGTAACCTCATAGAAACCTTTCTAGTTTTAACGACGTTTAAACATGGGTACAACATATATTATATATATGGAGGTCACAAATACACTATTAGTTTTGGACAAAACCACAATCGAACCGACCAGGAGCCTGCAGTTTATTACAATTTTGTATGAGCGCGTGAATAATTGTCATTTATTTTTTGTTCTATGTTAGTTCCTGGACTACTAAAAGCGATGAAGATTACAGACGGAAATTGCATTTACCAGAATCAATTAATTTTATTAATATAATACCATATAAAGCGAGACCATGATGAACTGCCCGATTTTTTATTACATGGTGATGGTTTGGGATATACAATGTACTCTACCTTGCCCCTACACGTGCTTACGCAGATATTGTCGCCAAGAAAACAACTGCGTTGCAGACTAAGCGACCTACTGAAAAGGGGATTAAGCATAAGAGCTGTCAGCCCGCCCGCCAAAAGCAGCAAGTCGATAGAGATGGCTTTATCACTGTTCAAAGGAAGAAAAAAAAGGCATTCCAAAACAAGTGCGGTACTGCACCGACCGGGCCGAAACATTTGCTGCGTCCAGCTGTACCAGAGACGCTGCTGTACGTGTCCAGGCTGCATTACTCTACAAAGGTCGAGGAAATTGTAGAGTATATTCAGATCAAAACGAATTACACCCTAAGGGTTTTGAAATTAGAATCCCACCACAGCGTGAATTTCAATTCATTTGTGGTGAGAGTGCCTTCCGTGGATTTACCAAAATTCATGACACCAGAGTTTTGGCCGAAAGGTGTTGTTTTCCGGCGATTCCGCGGCCGGATACCTGACACCGCGCAGCACGCGACGCTGACACAGCATAATAGTCGTGATAATTAGTGTTTAAATTTATTACTTACATTATGTATTTATAGTATTATTGTATTTTAATATGGGCCTTCGTTGCCTGATATAAATAAATAAATAAAAAATAAAATTTAGATTATTTTAGTTGGTTCTGGGTATTTGCTCCATACATTTTTGGGCATTATCCTTTTCCGTTTTGCAAGAATTGTTTAGGTACTTAATTTAGATAACGTAAGTAAAACATCGAAGCTACACGATGGAAAGGACTCAAAGGACCAGAGGGGTAAAGGCAGGGAGTCGTGGAAGAGGACGAAGGAGATCTTTACCCAATCAGAGGCTCATATTTCATAGTGCAACACACTAACATCAATTATAAATTTATTAAATAAATATGTATGTATGTAAGTATACCATTTTTTTAACGGGGGAAAATCATCGAATGACTTCTCCCGCCTGGGTGAGGCGGGAGGTAGTTTCAGACTTTTACTGACTAAAAACCACCCCGTTCCTTCTCCTGCACGTCGAACCGGAGCCCCGGTAACCCGTTAGGTTCTCCACGACTCCGAATCGGCATCGGCCCTACTGGGCACATTCTGTGGTGGTCTGATGGCTCTTTGAGGCGCGCGCGGAACGCGACGCGCCGTACGCTCGGGTCTGTGTCTGGTCGGACGGGGAGGCACCCATGCTCGCCGTCCGCAGGCCCGCGCTTACGGTGGCCAGAGATCGTCCCGCGATCCCCGACGCCCGGTGAGTCCTTCGCGATGGCTGGGTTGCGCTGCCTCACGCGTCCCGCCTCCTCCTTAGCTAGTATAACTGCTTCGCAAAAGGAGGAAACGGCATCCCAGTCCCCCTCACTCCGCATCATGACCTGCACTAGGCCCGGACGCGAGACGTCGCCATCATGCATGTATACTAACATGAACTAAAACACACAATATATTGTAATTGCAACGCTACAAGAAATATGGAATAAATAAGGCTAATTATTATTATGAAGTAAAACATTATAATATATAGGAACAGTGCTGCTGCCCGTCTCTCAGCAGCTGGGCCGACTGGTCACAGTTTTAGGCCATACTCTGCTCCATTTCTTTGTTTGAGCCCAACCATAGTTGGATATAAACAAATGGGCCTTAGCCCATACACAGATCAGAAATTTCAGTAGGAGTTTGTTTTACGTTTAAAGTACGCTCTGATTGGTTGGTTCATTTAAGACAAGTTCAAAGGTAAAATAAACTCGTACTAAGACCTCAGTTGACAGAGCATTGGTGTTTCATTCACTCCACTTCGTCTTATGGGTGATAGAATGTGGTGCATGCGGATGTGGGCCCAGGTTTATAAACAAATACGTTTTTGAAGAATGGCAATGTCAATTGTTTATGCTTCTCGGTGTCGTTTAACAACTGCTGTCACTGTCAAGTGTCATATGAGCAATCACAAGTCACAGAAAAAAAAAAAAAAAAAAAAAAACGTGAGCTGGGCGCATTCTTGCACTTCATTTTTGCACATTGAAAAAGTTTATACGTAGTCATGTATTGCCGACTATACGAGTGCAAGTGAAACAGATATAAAACTATGCTCAGGTTGCACATTTACAAAGTTAACATTAATTCAATACCACATCTGTCAAATCTATCTCTGAAATCTGTAATAAACTCGGAATTAGTTTCGAGTTAGGTGTTATATAGAAAATAACAATTTGTCTTTTCAAGCAATGGATAATCAAGGAGAATTACTGCATTTCCTAGATATACTAGATTTGAATGAGGAAGTTATCGATGTCCCTTTGAAAAGTCTAATGGGAAAGAGTAACCATTCTAATAAACATCTACGAAATATTATTCAATTACTGAAGTATAAACTGCTTATTAACGTCCAAGAAGGCATAGAATGTGAGAATAGCGAAGAGTTTGATTTCATTGTTAAACTATTGAAGGATCTAACAAGTGATAATGTCAGTTATGTTTGTGAAATTATCAACATGGTCCTGTGTTTGAAACCAAGCGATGTTGTTAGTAAAGCAGAACACTTACTGCAGCAAATATTATCAAATATTGACTTCCAATTTGAAGCACCATCTACCTCCTTAACTAGCAATGTAAATATGGACAAATTACTTTGTTTAAAAGTAGCTGATAGTATCCTGAATGCGACCATTCAGTTTGGAGAAAAAGTGTCTTTACTGTTCTTAGAGACACCTCTAGAAAAGATCTTGGATTCATCAGATGAAGTTCTGAAAGTATATTTTTTAACAGATATGGTGCCAGCCTTAATTTTTGGGGTGGTTGGCTATGATATACTAGATAGGATATGGGACCACATACAGTCATTCAAAGGGGACAATAAAGAGAATGCATTAAAAGTACTGAGCTGCCTCTCTGATTACTACCTACCCACACCTGATGCAAAAGGAGATAGCCAATTTGTATCTGAAATTGTCCACCAGTATAACTTTTGGGAAATTGTATTATTTGGTATGATGTCTGACAATGCATCTATCAGGAAAATATCTGTGTACCTCACTAAAAAGGCCATAGACTCTATAATCGCCACCAAAAAGGATGTCAAAGTTATATATTTAAATGAAATCATATTTCAATGGAATAATGGTAATACTAAAGCTCTGAAAACTATGTGGCATAATTTCTTCATCTTAATTGACAGTTTAGAAGAAAAACAGGCAAACATAGTGTTGCCATCACTAAAGCTATTTGAATCTGTGAATGTCGGTGTCTGGTGGATGAACTCTGCATTTAACATGGGCCTTAAACATGAAAATACACAGGTCAGATTGAAATGTATGGAGTACAAACTGAAAACTAAAATCAGAAATGAAACAGAAGCTCAAATATTGCTTGAAGCCATTAATGATATCAATTTATTTGATAACAGCACCATATATCAAGGCCTTAAGGCTCAGATACTGGAATTACTTGCCGATCCGCAATCGTTTATAGAAATATTTAAATCTATTTCGCAAGTAAAATGGGCACCTATACCACTGTACCACTTCACTGACGTTTTAGCTAATTTAAAAATGGATGCTTCATTAGTAGCAAATGATAAAGATTTATCAAAAATCACAGCTGATATTTTGAGGGTACCTTGTAATAATGTTGTATTGCGAAGAGCAGTACAGTTTAACATAATATTTTTCATAAAACATTGCCTAAATCACTTAAATTGGAAAGAAATTTTGAATATTTACCCTAATATTAATTTAAAAATTCCTTTCCAAGAAAACCCCTTTATTGAAATTGTAAAACAAGTTCCTATAACAAAAGAAGATAAAGTAATGAATTTAAAAATAATGTCAGAGAGTTATGCAAATGTAGACCTTGTTTTACTAAACTTTTTGGCTCATGAAGAAGATACAAACATTGTTATTGAAATAATTGAAGATAAAATAAAGAAAATACAAGAAGGCCTCAACAGGCAATATGCAGACAAAAAGCCATATCTCAATGACGTTTTATTCTTACTGGATTTGTCAAGCAAAACTAAAGATTCCTCACTAAACAACATTTATGAGGCGATAACACGGCAAAATAAGACATTATTGCTATATCTACTAAGTCTGTTTTCAAATGATGTGGTGTTAGGAATGGAGGATATATCAAAATTATGTAAATATCATGAATTTGTTTTTAATGAAAAAGAGCTCGGAGTTGAATTACTGCAGCTCTATAAAACTGCTGTTTTATTCCTGAAATCCAACCCAGACATAGATAAAGCAGTTATTAGTTTATTTATTATAAAAATGCTTCACAGTAGTCCTGTAATGCTAAACAGTTATAAGCATGAAATGCTTAATGTAAATAGTTTTATTCAAATAGTTTCAACTGAAGAATTGAAAGGTGCCCAACACGAAAGTATGGGTAGATTAAAAAATGTGTTTTATGAGAAGTCTTGTGCAATAATATGCTTTTTGATTAAAGAAGAGAAAGATGTTGATAGCTGCCTGAATGATGTGGTTATATACATGGAGAATGTGCTAGAACGTGGAGGGTATGGGTGTCTAAAATGGATCCTGAAGACAGTCAACAAAATTATTAACAAACTTACTAATGGTGACATCAATTTCAACTTAATTCAGTTTGTGAACAGAGTTTGGTCAGAAATTGAGGAGTTGAAGTCCAACAGCCAATATTCACCATGCATTGAAGAGTTTGTTCAATTAATTACTCAAGATTGTATCCTAAAAAATCCAATATATAACAATGTGATAGTAACTACATACTGCAATAAGATTATAGAATATGGACCTATAAAAACGAACCCACTGTTCTACTTGATTAGGAAATTGAATGGGAAAAATATGAAGGAGTATGGGCATCTCATTTATGTTTTGTGTGACATATTGCTCTATTGTCCTGTGCCTAGGAAAGATCAGAGGTAAATATCCTAAACGTATTCGTATTGCAGCTATCTTGATATATAATACATTATTTTGTACGACATACTCCCATAATTGTTAATGAGATTTCTTCAGTAGTTTTGACTGCACGGTTGGTGCGGTGGCTAGGGAAACTGGCTGCCGTGCAATGTGATCGTGAACACTTTGTGTGATCCACAAATTGTTGTTTCGGGTCTGGTTGTCATTGTGTATGTGAACTTGTATGTTTGTAAACGCACCCACGACACAGGAGAAAATCGTAATGTGGGGGGGCAACGTTTTTCTATCAAAAAAAAAGTAGTAGTCACTAGAGAGTTTGCTGCGCGCCGCTGTCTGCGTCTGTTGTCACATCACACGTGTTGCTCATGACTTTGGGCCCCTGGCGAGACCTAAAACTCGGGTAGGCTCGGCGTATACCTAGTTAGGTGTACAACCCAACCTAATGTTCTAAACGTGACATGAAATGACAGTAGCTTAAGATAAATCTCAGCTTTTCTTAAAAACTTAATCTGTGTTTTATTTCAGGATTTCAGATAATGTAACACTAGAAGTTCTACAAGACCCGAGATATCGTGTAAATAAAGAAAGGTGAGGAATTTGTGTACTGTAGACATATTTTTTAATTTTATTTTAATTTCTCTAAATTTATCTATTCTTACAGTATTGATGTCCACTTCAACTACGAAATCCAGTATCTAGCAATAGCATCATTATGCAACATCAATGACGCAGAAACTCTCGGAATCATTACCAATCTCACGACCATCCGCATCGACAGCTTATTCAAGAATAAACAGCGTTACCATGGCAACTCGCAACTGCACAGAGTTTTGCAAACTACCCTACAACATATTTTGTTGCTGGTGTTGAAGAATGGGGATTTGAAAAGTTTCTGGAGGGAGCATAATTGGTGTTTGGATATGTTTGTGAAGCTGCCTCATCAGCCAAGTGTCAGGATTTGCTTTGAATGGTTCATTTCGCTGTACTTTTATGTTGAGGTGAGTCTCAAGATAAAATAAATATTATTACGTTATTTATTATACTAGCTTCTGCCATCGGCTTCGCCTGCAATCCCTTAGGATAAAAAGTAGCCTATCTGTTTTTCCAGACCATAATCTACCCCTGTTCCAAATTTCATCCTGATTCCTTCAGCTGTTTTTACGTGAATGAGTAACAAACATTCGCATTGGTGATATTAGTTGGATCTATTAATTCATGGTTAAATGATATGACTACTTGCCACTTTAGTTTCTTTGAAAACAGAGTATTAAACTGTCAAACACCAAGCGGTTATTTAATTGTGTCTCTAATGACAGTACTCAAAGTTAACTAACAAAACTGTTTTCTCATTTCTAGAAAATCGCCATCGGCGAAGAAATGCTTCAGATCATGAAGTCAAGGCATATACCACTGACCTCACAGTTCTTTATAGTATATTGGTTGCTAAAGCATAAAATATCTAACAATACATACACAGAACTTGAGTATAACTTTGTATTGGACTTCTTACTTGCTCATACAATGGGTCAACTATTTAATGTTAGATTAAACGCACAATACCTAGCCACCATCCTATACAAACTAGCGAAAAGAACTACAAAATACGAATACACTATAAACATAATTGAAAGGACTTTCTCAGAATGTAATACAGATAAAAACTACATAAAACTGAGAAGCGATTATTTTACTAATGATTTTGATATCGTTGGGAACCTTACACCGTACTTCATATATTATGTGTTACCAAAATTATGTGAGATTGATAGCAATGAGAAGATAAACATGCAGTTTGTTAATCATATCATCAAGGGTATTGATGAGAAGGTGGCTAGAGATGGTACTGGGGAGTTTATCAATGAGTGGAAATGTTGTCGGAAGTCTAATGATCAGTTTGCAGTACTGCAACCGAGTAAAGGTTTTGATGAGAGGAGTTCTGAAGATGTAGAAGCTATGGGGACTATACAGAAGAAGTATGTTCCTTGGAGGAACATGAGTGATGTCAATGTCTATGATGCGGGGAAGAAGGTATGGTGGTTTTTTAATATATGTATTTTTTTAGCTTCTCTACGTTTGGGCCGTGAATCTGGGCATTTGTTCCCGGTGCATTTCCGTATCTAATTTAGACCCGAAATGTGTTTTTATGATTTGAGTTAAAAAAATCCTAAGCACGTATTTTATGCCTGTTTTAATTTATTTTTGTCATCATTTTTCGAGTTAGGCGCATAATAAAAATGCTGACTAAAGAGTACTTTAAATTCTAGAGGGAAAGTCCAAGTCAGTTAATTGTGGTGGCTTCATTGATAGACAAGTTACCCAACTTGGGTGGAATGGCGCGCACCAGCGAAGTGTTTGGCGTTCAGACGTATGTCGTGGACAGTTTGAGGCACCTACAGGACAGGCAATTCCAGGGGCTCAGGTATATGGAATTCTTATGTATATTCTTTCTTTCTCAGGTATATTCTTATAAATGAACTAAAAATCGTACGAACTTCAAGAGAAGAGCGTACTCCCTTTTGAACGGTCGGTAGCGCATTAGTGACTCCTTACCGCGTGTAGCTTGTGCCTTGTTCGCACTATGCTAGTTTTTTAGTCGAGCAGCGAGTGTTTAGTATATCCTTCTCGCTTTTATCCCAAAATCGAAGCGAGAGAGAGTTACTAAATACTCGTTGCTTGACTAAAATACTAGCATAGTGCGAACGAGGCATTAGTGTTAGACTGCACTGACTGTACGGTTGGTGCGGTGGCTGGGCAACTGGCTGCCGTGCAACGTGTCGCGGGTTCGATTCCCGCACGGAACAACATTTTGTGTGATCCATAAATTGTTGTTTCGGGTCTGGGTGTCATTGTGTATGTGAAATTGTATGTTTGTAAACGCACCCATGACACAGGAGAAAATCCTAGTGTGGGGCAATGTATAAAAAAAAAACTGTTAGAAGATCCGTTTGCCCCTATTCCATAAAATCAGTAGGTACCCATAATTAGCAGCGCTTATTTTCCATTTTCTCGTGTAAAAAGGCCAATATTATTTCTTCTTGTTAGCGTATCAGCAGAAAGATGGATCAACGTAGAAGAGGTCCGTCCTGGCCGACCTCTCAAGGAGTACTTGTTGAAGAAGAAAGAGGAGGGGTATGCCGTGGTGGCTGCGGAACAGACCTCTAGCAGTACCAAGCTGCAAACCTTCAAGTTTCCTAAGAAGACATTGTTGTTGCTTGGGTAAGAATTTTGTTAATGGCAACATAGAGTACCGCAATGCTTCTTAATCAAATCTTTTAGTCATCAGTGTTTTCTTTAAAGTGACTTGTACGAGTAAAGGTACTCTCTCACCGGGAGTATTCGCGTGTAATGTAACGCTACAGATCTGAGCATTACATCAGTGAAGGAGGAGAACCGAGCATTACAAAGCGCACCTTGTAATGATACAATGTGTAATATCTTGATACAACTTGTAACATCAATGCGCTCCACTTCCCCCCATCCGCTTCGTCTAACATCTTGCTATGAAATGCTCAAAGTCGAATTAACTCATTGAGTACCGTCATTATAGACAGTACCGTCATTATAGACAGTACCGTCATTATAGACAGTACCGTCATTATAGACAGTACCGTCATTATAGACAGTACCGTCATTATAAACAATAAGTTGCGGTCACCGGTGTCCTCGCGGTGTTTGACAAACTGTCATATAAATATGTTACATTACACGCAAATACTCGTTAATCTGGGAGGTATTATTGTAATGTAATGCTCAAAGTCGAATCTCTAATGTTAGATTACACGTGAATGCTCCCGGTGAGGGAGCATCTTTATATAAAATTGTATGTGAGGAGTGTGTAAAAAAAGAAACTAACGAGATTTATATAAATATTCATTTAATCACGAAACAATTCACATTATTCATCACTAGCATCTTTATTGAACCGATTTTCGACTTTATTACACACAGTTAAGTTATAAATACAGAAATTCGAGTAACATCATCATAATATTGCGTCAGATGAAAATAAACCCTTTGTCAGAACATAACAAAGTATATTTTTCTTTTAGCCACGAGAAAGAGGGCGTGCCATGCGACTTGTTGCCCCTAATGGACCATTGCGTGGAAATCCCACAACAAGGCTACGTCAGATCACTAAATGTGCATGTTACGGCGGCCATATTCGTTTGGGAGTATGCTAGACAGAATGTTTTGTAACAAAATTACCTTTTATTCCCTCTGCAGGCATAGATAAATAGCGTCAATTACATATCCAGCTTCGAATACAATAATTGAGTTTCGTTGTACGAGACTTATGTGGAAACCTTATTATAATTATGTACTTTAATCCCTTGCATTGAGTTTTTATTCTATACTTTTTATACCGCTTTTATGTCATTTGTCTAAGCCTGCAGGTTAAGGTTAAGCGCGGCAATCACCAGTTTTGTTTTATAATTCAAATTTTATTTAAATGTTAAATTGTGGTTCGTCATTGTGATGTGCGTTTTTGCTGCACAACTACAGAAAAAAAAATTAAAAATAATAATGTTACATAAAATTTTACATATTTTTTATTACATTTTATAACAGTATATAATGCAAGTTTTTGTACTTTAATTCCTTGATCTCTTTCGTACCAGTATCTTTTTTATCCCGGTAAATAGAGTTTAGTGTAGTTGGAACTTGTCATCAGCTTTGAAATGATGTCTATGCTTCTTAGGACCATCATGAACATATAAAACAAGGAATAACAAACTCGATCAGAGCTTTTTAACACTTTACCAACAAGTACATTTTTACTTCTCATAGCTATTACAGAATAATTTTACAACTTTTGGTAATAGTGTGATTTTTATAGGCTTGGCCTCATACTCTTCTTTGTCAATGTCAATAGTTGTAGCGCCAAAGTGTTCTTTGGGATACAGCATCACACTTCGAGCAAGGATAGCATTCTTTATACTCTTGTCCCGAACTCGGTCCCAGCCCTCGGACACAAACTCCATATATTTATAGTTATATTTCCCAATACCAACACTTAAAGCTGGTGTTGATTGTGTATTCTGTAAGTTTGGAGTCACAATCCTGAAATCACTAGTCTGGAAGCAAATTTCTTCAGTAGAGTCACATTTATTGTTGACTAAATTCGCAGGACTATTGTCTTCAGCTAAAGTGGTAGAGGGCAAGAAGAAAGCCCATTTCCTTTTGACTTGGGGCCGCTTCATGACACAGTTGCTGCATCCGTCGCAGGGTGGACTGTATTTTATTACACCTTTGCAATGCCAGTTGAGGGATTGTCTGTATCCATTGAAGATATATGAAGCATATTCCCTTAGTGACCCATACAGCCAGTACTTGTGCTGCTTAGACAAAACATCTCTGAAAGCTCCCCACTCAAGCGAGCACAATGCAAAAATTGGCTTCCCAAATACTGCATCTTCCTCTTCAATGGGTTCTATTTTCATGGCATCTTTCCACATAGTGTTACCCTTGATTATAGCCATGGAAGCTTCAATGAGTTGTTTTACCCGAAGAACACCTTCCCCTTTTGAAAAAAGGGTGTTGCCGATAGTATTTGTTCTTCCAAGTGGAAGAATACCAATAGGGAAGCGGTTTGCATCATCATGTCTGCGCAGAAGTCCTAGAATAATAAAATATTTTTTGTCAAGTCATTATTACAGGAGGTGATAACAAACTTCATTTTTTTTTATTAGCAATTCCATTTTTTTTTTTAAATGTTGCCCCACACTAGGATTTTCTCCTGTGTCGTGGGTGCGTTTACAAACATACAAGTTCACATACACAATGACACCCAGACCCGAAACAACAATTTGTGGATCACACAAAGTGTTGTCTCGTGCGGGAATCGAACCTGCGACACATTGCATGGCAGCCAGTTGCCCAGCCACCGCACCAACCGTGCAGTTCTTTCATGTTGGGTAAAAAAGTAAGATTTACCTTAAACTGAAGAGAATTTTAAATAAATACAGTTAGCATGCAGCAAGAGTTACTTTTAGTTATACTATCATGAAATATTACATCAGTATTTTTGAAGTAAATATTTACCTGTAATGCATTCAGACAATGTTCCGTCTCCTCCTGCAATCACAATAGCCTGGGTTCCTTTCAGTGTTTCGACCAGCTCTTTCGCGTTCCCCTCACTGGAAGTCTGTACAACATCCACCTGCATCCCTGCCAAGTGCAGGAGTGGCTCGCAATACTTCTCAAAGTCCTGCTTGGCTCTCCGCTTGTTAGCAACAGGGTTCAGAACGACAGTGACGAGCATCGGATTGTCATCTATAGCAATCATTCTGTCTCCATACTTTGCAGCCTCTTCACAAGCTGCTCGCATCAGTAAGTTAATTCTGTAAGCCATTATGAAATCCTATTTAAAATTCTTTAAATGTTATTATAACTTCTAATATTGTTACTTGCTACTTATAACTTCAAATATTGCATGCAATATATAAATAAAGGAAAAATTAAAACAATTGTGTTTCGGGTTCCTTGATCTAAACTTACTCATATTTTTCTTTTACTACCGTAGCTCCATAGTATAATGCTACGGCTCCCAAGACGGATTTTTTCCAATTATATCGGATGGTTTTTTGCAATTTATTAAGTTTACGCAGCAGCATTTTTATTTAAAATCCATTTACATCGGGCTTTAAAAATTAAGGTTAGTCAGCTGTTCCAGTAACAAGTTTGTATGACAATGTCATATTGACTGACAATTTTACAGAACTGACAATCTATTGACAATCAAACTCTATGATTAAAATTAAATCTTGAACTGTGTGGCCTGTGGCCTGCTGGTATATCATGGCCTGTAGCCTTTGCATAGCCTTTGTATGTTTGTGGGGTTTGTGGCTTTCGCAAACTATACCACACTGTATTATATACGTTGAAGGTGTTGAAGTCAGTTGAAGTTTATTGTGTACATGTTGAGTATATGAGTAATATGAGGTTCCACATTGCATGTCTCAAAAACACACTTAACGCACGCGTCAAGTAGTCGAGACTGAACTCAAGAGTTGCGTAATTTATGAAAAACTGTGAGGTCCGCAAAAACATAGAACCATGGAATCAAAAGAAAATTATCAAGCTTTTTTTGTAAAAAAGTTAAAACTTCTGTCTGTGGTTTAGATTCCATACAAAATAGAAAATGAACCTTCTGCCATAGGCGCACGATACAAAATGAATTTAAAACAAAGAAGGTTTGGTTTTCAAGTTGTACCATAGAGTAGACACAGATTGATTTGTCAAATAAATATCTAGGTATATTTTCGTTTTGTGATGTGTTAAATGATATTTATTATTTATTCAGTTCTTCGTGATGAATTCCGATAAAAAAGGAGTCGTCAAGTTATCTGACGGCTGGGTGCTTTGCACATCGAAATCAAATCCTGGTAGAAAGTATTATTTTAATAAGAGGACTGGTAAATCGTCATGGACCCAACCACAGGTGAATTTCGTACTTTATCCAACATTCTTAGGTTTTTACAAAAACTGGTTTGTAGAATGCGTAGGGTTTATTGTATGATGCGTTTGTTAATGATTTAGAGTAAATGTTCCTGATTATATTAACGGATTGCTTTGCATATTTCAAGGCTACCGAAAAGTCTGAAAGGAAACAGAAAAACAAAAAAGAGAAAGTAAACAGAGAGAAGATTAAGAAGGAAGAAGCACAGAAGAGTTTAAAGAGGAAAAGCGATGGCAATGAAAGTCAAGAATTGGGAAATAAAAAGCATAAAAAGGGTAAGTAACATAGGTACTGGTATTTATTTACTAACAATTAATTGTATTTGTAACTTTACATAATATAATTGTCTGTGAACTCGATTAATAGACTAGTGCAATATATTCAAATTCTCCATTTTACATGGTAAATAATATGTTAGTTACATTCTAGAATATAACAACAATCAAACAATATAATAGATTTTTGATGTGACATCACATCAAGTACATGACAATAAGTACATGATTGATTGTGTAATAAAGTGTATTCATATTATGTCCATATTCTTGTATTTTGTTTAATATAGTTGCTAACACATTATATGTATTAATTTAAAAAGTATAAAATGTTTGCTATTGTATAATAAAACTATGCTAACTTATCATTATGCAATATACACAAGTATTTTTTACATGTTGAGGATATTAATTATTGAAATTTACTATTTCTACCGCTGGCTACCTTTGTTTTCCTTTAGTTACCTTTTTTATCATACTTAATTAATCTAATTATACTGGGCTATATTTTATTGTAATAATCTACTTACTCTCAAAGATGTATGAATATTATTTTAATCTTTTTAATTTAATTTGCTGTATCTCGCAATATATGTAGCAATAATGCTATTTGATATATCTCGTGCCAGTTGTGTAAATATAAAATGATAGGAAATACAAATTACATTATTCCCACAGAAATTGCAGTCACACCATCAAATCAGAGAGTTAACAGCCAATCACCACTCAAACCTAGCCCTAGTACTAAAGAGACCCCTCAGAAACGAGTAAAGAATGCAGCAAATCAAAGACTATCACAGTTAAGGGCAAGGTTATCTGTGGAAGCTCAAGATGATATCACCAACAGTACAGACCAGTCACCTAGCAAAGTGGTCAAATCCAGCCCCACAACTAGCACACCCCCCAAATCTGCTACCACCCCTAAACCTGCCACCACCCCTAAATCTACAATCACCCCTAAACCAGCCACAGAAACGAAACCCCCCAAGGTTGAAAACAAAAGTCCTGTTGCAGAAGGCAAATGCACGACATCACAGTCTCCAAGCAGCGACAGCTTACAGTCTATTCCCTCCCCTTCTCAGTTCTTTGCAGCTAACAAAATAATCTGCTCAATGAAAGCACAATTACCTGAAGATGCGTACTGTGATAATCCAAAGCCAAAAGACACATTTGCGGACATTGAGCAAGGTATTTGCAATCAGACTTCGGAGTATCCATATATGAAGCACCCATCTACCCCACCCCAGTTTTCACAAGCAAGCAAGCTTCTGTCTGCTATCAAATCTAAGTTAACTAAAGTGGCAGTGAGTAAAGATGGGAGCTGTCAAGAGACTGTAGAGACATATGCCTCGGCTAGTGAACGAATGGAAAAATTAAGGGCCAGTTTGTCTAGTGACCTGATGGAAATTGAAAGTGATCCAGTAGTATTAAGCAGTAGTGTAAGCATAGAAACAAATTGTACGTTGAATGAGGCAATGGATGTGGATTTAAAAGAGGTATGTTGTCTTTTTACTGTGTCTAGTAATGTTTTATTTATTATCTATGCAATATTCTTGTTGATATTGATCTGCCTTTGTTAGAAACATATTGAAATATATTTTTAAAATAGTACTTTAACCTTTGGGTTTTCTAAAGATGTATTTGTATAACAAAAGAGACAATTGTTTGCAACACTGTTGCGTGTGAATAGTATCTGTAAGCCATCAATATTATTCCATACTGTGTTGGGAGTTTGGTTTATGTTACAATTGTATGTTGATTTTATCTCTGTTTAAAGTTTTTCTCTTAATTCTACTTTCTTGTTTCTATGATGCCTAAAACTACCTTACTGAAACTCTGTTCTAAGATATACATGGACTTCTATTTACTATTCTTTTAAATAATTATATTTTTTTAACACTTTACTCGAGGAAGGCAGAAGTTTACATTATAGCATTTAATGCCACTGTACAATGTAACACCCACTTTTCACTATTTATGTTGTAAGCCCCATGTAATAGGGGGTGAGCCTATTGAATAATTTTTTGATGTTCCAGATAAAGCAAGTAGCAGCACCTCTAGCGAATTGTACAAAGGATAACATTAGAACCGACCTTGTATTAGTTGTGGATACAAATATTTTTATACATGAGTTGTCTATTATCAAGAATGTGCTCAATTCTAATATTAAAGGTATGTTCACTTAACTAAACACAAAATGTATATAAATATATATATTAAATGTAATACCCACTTTAATTACTACTTACGACACTTACATGCTAAAATATAATCCACACGAAATTACAGTAACCTTGTCATCCTTCAATTAAATGGAATCACATCATGAGATTATATTATGAGACCCATGTAGTAGTTGGCAATGAGAATTTCCGACAACCCACTACTGTTTTTCGACTTGGGATTCGAAATTAAGACCCTTCAGTTGACGCTTGCGACTTGCGACCCGAAAAAGTCGGGATAAAATATTTTAATTGTCGAACAACAATACAAAAAGGGCTTTGTTGGAAACATATAAATTTTAAACAGTATTTACTTCAATCGATATTCTACTTCGCTACGATACAAGTAGGCACTTGTCTCGTCGATATTACAGCGATCGATATAATTATACACCTGTGGAGGCTATTCAATAAGTGATTTTAACTTCGCAATTATATTAGGTCACCTACATTATCGATCGTGAGGACTTCTAGACATCTAGATGTCTACCACTTGTATTCTTTGTTAATATTATAAACGCGAAAGTGTCTTGGTTGGTCTTGCTTTCACATCACAATGGGGCGATTTTATGATCTACTAGCTACTTCCGTGCGGTTTCACACGCTCTGCTCAGCTCCTATTGGTCGTAGCGTGATGTTTTATAGCCTATAGCCATCCTCGATAAATGCGCTATCCAACACAAAAATAATTATTCAAATCAGACTTGTACTTACGGAGATTAGCGCGTTCAAACAAACAAACAAAAAAACTCTTCCGCTTAATATAATAGTATCAGATGAGATTTATCTGGACAGAGCAATTGGTTGAGTTTTTTTTTATATTTGATGGGCCAACCTTTGACTACTATCTCGCCTGGTGGCAAGCGATGATGCGGTCTACGATGGAGCACTTCGACCCATAAGCAACCTATTCACACGGGCCTGAAGGTGGTATTAATGTAGGGTATCTCTTTTTTCTTTCAACATACAGATTCACCAGCGAGTTTAAATCTAGTTCATCATTTCGTTTTCTCTGACTGTCATTTATTTTATTTACACTTCTTGGATACAGTGGCGGACTTAATGCACTTACACTTACTTAGTGGCATTCTCTAACAGTCAACTTTAGGGTGGTGCAGAGAGACAAAAGTAGGTGTAAAAGTTTAACACTGTTGTGAGTTTTGATTATACATTGTCATGTACATTATATAATTATACATTTAGACTTTTGCTTGCTATTCTATGGATATAAGCCGATATGTTTAAGTGGCAGGGCGATAGGCAGTTGTACCGCGTGTCACGAATTCGATTCCCATTTAATTTAATCGTCAAATATCTTGCTAAGCGTGCTTTTTAATTTCGCCTACAGTAACAGAGACAATGTTTGTTCAGTAGTAGACGTCCGGCTAATGACCTTGGTATTTTAAGGATTTCCGGGGCAGCCGACACTGCTCGTACCTTGGCGTGTGGTGAACGAGTTGGACAGATTGAAGGACAATAATAACTGCAACGGCGCAGTGTGGAAGCGAGCCAAGCGAGCCATGGACTATCTCTACAAGTCTATACCTGAAGACAGTAGGATACGAGGTCTGTTTTTACCATATATATAATAGGTGTGGGAGAGCCATGCTTCGGCATGAATGGGCCGGCTCCACCGGAGCACCACGGCCTCACAGAAGACAGACGTGAAACAACGCTTGCGTTGCGTTTCGTAATGTGAGTGAGGTTACCGGAGGCCCAATTACTGAGGCTCTACTAGTTTCGAGCCACAGCCGGTTCTGAGTAGGCTGCGCGACATCGCCGCGACCGCGCATGCTGCTCATGAGGAAGAGCCCCTCTGTGGCTCGAAAGTAGTTGAACTTTTCTCAGTATATTTACACGGGACACCCGCGATTTTTATTTAATTTAGTATTTCTCACGATAGTTATAATAAAAACGATACTATACGACTGCTCTATATAAAAGGATTTGTGGATTGTGTGGATCCAGTACTCCAGCAGTAGATTGTCTCGTGCAGTCTGCTGCCAGAACAGTTTCCATTGAAACATGTGTGGTTCCTTCATTTAGCAAAGAGAAAATTCTAGAGTAAGGGCGTATTTTTATTAGATATTTGTAATGACATCTATAAATGTATTATGTATGAGCAGGCCAACCGCTCCGCGACGCAAACTCCCACATATACCCGTGCGAGTCTCCCGACGACGAGATCCTCAACTGTGCGCTACAACAAGCCGAGAGGGGGAAGACAGTGGTAAGATTACAATGCTTACCATACTTCATTAATCCTTGTTCATATTAATCGGTGTTAGCTGGTGCCATTTGGTGAACAAAAAAACGTTTTTGCTAGCTATGGTCACATTATTGGACGTTAATTTTTTGAGAGCTACAGTCATTTGACAAACTGAACTCTTTGTAGACAAAGCTCGAAAGTTTACGATTACGCTCGAAAGTTTTCGATCAAGCTCTACACTTTTTGATCAGGAATTAAACTTTTCAATAGAATCGAAATATATTTTTGAGTTCGTAATATATATTTTAAATTATAAAATAAAAATGAATCGCTAAATTTGTTACTAAGCGCAAATCTCAAGAACTGCCGAACCGATTTGGCTAATTCACAAATCTGTATATTTAGTTTGCGCTTTATGCATTGTCTCCTACTTTCTCAGATCCTGCTCTCAAACGACAAGATCCTGTGCAGCAAGGCAGAAATTAACAACGTCAGGAGTCTGTCTCTGGCTGAGCTAAACGATCTGCTGGAGACTCCTCCTCCTCAGGAGACGGATCCTGACGCCTTCGACAACCTCAAGCATTACCAAGCCACAATATATCAGCTGCTAGCTAATATTCTAGAGGTAAACTGGACCACAGCATAAACTTTTAGAGATATTAATTATATTTTAGTAAGAATGTGGACCTCCTCTGGTTTTCCCTCATGTATTGGAATAAGCTTGAACAAGGGGCTACTCATTGGATAGAGCCCAAGCAGCAGCGCTCTCTGATAAATTTGAACCTTTTAACACATTAAACGCCATGGGGGTCACCGGTGATCGACGTTAGCTGAGGATTTGCCTTCAACGGTTTTCTATCGGCAGTCTTTTGACTGCCTTAAAATATGATTTCCATCTCGGCTGACAAGCGTGGTCAAAGTCAAAGTCAAAATCATTTATTTCAATCAGACCAGGAAGACACTTTTGAACGGACAGTCTGGCAAACCTACTTTCGGCAGTGGACTGTTACCAACTGTTGATGATAGGTAAAGACGAAGACGAAAGAGAAAGACGAGTTCGTCGAAATGACATTAAACCTCCGAAGAGTAATTTGTCAAACTAGAATTTTCATTCGTGCGGATTGTGCAATTAGAGTAGGGTTCCGAAAATTTTAATGTCAAACAGTACATCTCATACAAATTTCTGGCTCGTTTCATTCCTTTTTTGTTCGTAATAAATGTCATTGTGGTAGGTAATCTTCGAAGTTTCGCCCGAAGCTTCGTTTTTCGTTGAATCAGAGACCTCATCATCATCATCATCATCACCATCATAATTTTTTAGCCATAAGACATCCGCTGACAACTAGTGACATGCTGAAGATAGACGTTACCTAATGTCTACCAGATATTTAAACCAGTTAGGACTAAGACATAATTATAACATAACATCACGCCTTTTATCTCCGAAGGTGTAGGCAGAGGTGTACATTATGCCACTGTACAATGTAACACCCACTTTTCACGATTTATGTTATGAGTCCCATGTAATGGGGGTAAGCCTATTGCCATATACCGGGCACAATTCCAGACTACGTGCTACTACTGAGAATTTTTAAAAACCCAGTAATACTTTGCCCGACCCGGGAATCGAACCCAAGACCGCATGCGCGGCAGCTGCACTTGAGACCACTTGGCCTATGAGACAGACAGACATAATTATGTACCCAAATATTGTAAATGCAAACGTTTATTAGTTTGTGTGTATGTTTGGTACTCCATCACATAAAATTGCTGTAGGGGTTGTGATGAAATTTGATACAGGAGTAGACTATGGTCTGCAATAATACATAGGCTAATTTTTACAGGATCATGGGCGAAACTGCTGGCAGAAGGTTGTTTATCATAACTTTCTTTTCACTTTTCCAGAACGAAATGCGCGCGAAATACAACAATTTATGGCAGCACGTACTGTTCAAGGCGCCCCCTTGGACGTTGGCCGACGTGCTCCAATGTTTGCTCAAACATTGGATAGCCGTGTTCAATGAGGTGTTCCCCAGGATAGAACATCTTATTATCGACTTGAAGAACTCTTTGACTTCTGTTGACAGTAAAGGTGAGGTTTTTGAAACTAACTTTATTTTTAGCCAATAGTTACTTGTAGTATGATTGTACGCTTATTAAAGACTTACGTCAGCGATGATGACGCTACGTGACATAATGCGGTGGCCTAATCTCACCTCCGACGGCCAACAACGCACTAGAAGATGATAGGATAGTAGACATTGTATGACAATTAAAAATGTAATTAGTCCGTCAGTTAGATATAATTAGAAAATCGTTGTAAAGTATTTAATTTTTGTAAGAAGAGTTATCTACCAGACGGACATTAAAATATAATTTAGAATTTAAATTAACTATTCCTTTGGATGTCCATATTTACCTACTTACTTAGAAAAAAAATATTTAACATATTGTCTATCACCCTCTCCACATTCAATATTTTCTCGTTTTTCAGATTCAAAATCCCTAACTGACTCCGAGGTATCAAATTTCAAGGACCTATGTCTAGAAGTGGCGAAGAAATGTCAGATTATTCCAGAATATATGGAACTAGCCAAGGTCACGGTGGACCGGCTTCTAAATGATCGTGCCTGTGATGCTGAAGACGAGAAACATGGTGAACTTATGGTCATAGACGCCTTCGAAAATGTATGGACTGTTATGTCCAGTTTTTGGTATGTTTTCCCCACAATCTATATGACTATTTGGTCTGAATGCACATGAAAATACATAACATAACATCACGTCTTTTATCCCCGAAGGGGTAGGCAGAGGTGCACATTATGCCACTGTACAATGTAACACCCACTTTTCACTATTTATGTTATGAGTTTTTCACCATTTAATAGGGGGTGAGTATATTGCCATATACCGGGGACAATTCCAGACATTTAAAATTTTTTAAAAATCCAGTAATACTTTGCCCGACCCGGGAATCGAACCTGAGACCCCTTGCCAGTTGAGGTAGTCATTAAATATAAATGTACAGAAAATGAAAAAGGTACACAGGTTCGCTGTGTCATTTATCTCGCAATGCTGCTCATGACTATGAGCTCCTAGAGTACCTCGAAACTAGTCAAGTTATCTCAATCAGTTACGTGAGTCGTAAATTATAATAAAGTAATTACATTGCAGTGCCAAGCTAGCGAGTCGTATGGGCGTGCCTCACAACATCGAGGACAAGTGGCCCGGGGACGAGCCCCTGGAGGCACTCACCACCAAACTCACACTCTTCACCAACCAGATCTCTGCATTCGCGCTCGCTATTAAAGGGTAAATATATGTAATAATCATACATTTAATAATAGGGTAGATGACTAATTTTTATTTTAATGTCCGTCTGGTAGATTATTTAAAAACATTAGACACGTATTTTTAATTTTTTTACTAAAACTAATAGTTTCGAAGATATATTGATTTGAAATGTCGCGTGACGTCACTTCTATGTACATTTTATACGTAGAAATGATGTTTTAGCCCCCACTCCTAAACTTTTATTATACAACTTGTTAGTGAATAGGAACGCAACTAAAATATATATTTCTTGTCTGTGGCGCCGCAATTGTCATTCCGTTTGTCTCTGTCTTGATAATAACTCCGGTTGTCGTGTTCTCTAAATAAAACTTGTAATAGTTAAAAATACTCTCTAATTATTTACCACAACCACGATTCATATTCCTTTACAACTAAATAAAAAAATACGTGTCAAATATTTTTTCATTACCTAACTGACGGACTTATTACATTTTTAATTTTCATACCTTGTCATCATCCCTATTATGGTGAGTAATTTTACGACATTTCATGACTTTTTAAAAATCACAAGAAGATTGAGCTTTACTGCATGCAAAGGCAACTTGGACAAAAACACCCGGCATCTATTGTTATTTCGAATTTATTTAAAATACGTTCAGCAGTTTTTCATTTAAGGGAACAAAGTTTAAAGCATTTTTTATTGTACGTTTTTTTTTGTTTGACAAAATCAAAGAAAAAGACAGCGATTTCTTAGATTTTTTAAAACCCGGTAATTTAAATTTTTATGGCTTTATTCTTACATTTATCATGTACTGGGCCTAGCGAACAAATAACGTAGATCTATAAACTATGTACTAAACAATGTTACATTATTTTCCCAGAGTATTAAGCTCAGAAAACCCGGAGTCAAGTATAGAGGCTCTAGAGCAAGCATTCCGTGACAGTTTGCAACTGATCTGTATGGACAACGAGTACATCAACAAGACTAGACTCGCCACCTTCTGCGGCAAATGCAGGTATGTACTTAGTCATTTAGTTCACCTGCTTCGAACGAGCGAACAAACGAACGAATGAAGGAACGTACGAACGAACGAACGAACTAACGACCGAACGAAAAAACGAACGAATGAAAGAACAATCGGACGAAAGTACGAACGAACGAGGAAACGAAAGAACGAACGAAAGTACGAAAGACGAACATCAAATCTTTCCTCTTTATAATATTAGTTTAGATTCTCTGAAGTATAAATAGGTGACTTAATTTTTTACTCTTACATGTGGTTATGTCAATACACAACCTAATAATCTAATAACATAACATTAGGCCTTTTATCCTCTAAGGGGTAGGCACCCACTTTTCACTATTTATGTTATGAGTCCCATATAACAGGGGAGAGCCTATTGCCATATACCGAGCACAATTCACGACTCCGTGCTACTACTGAGAATTTTTTAAAAACCCAGTAGTACTTTGCCCGACCTGAGAATCGAACCCGAGACCCCTTGCTGCCTAGTCGCACTTGCGACGAACGAGGCAGTCATCGACATCAACGTCTAATAATATAATAATAATTTACAGAAACATGCTACAGGAGGCGTACACAAAGTTCGCCCAGCTGATGGAACTAATCGAAGTATGTAAGAACACACTCAATACTGCCAATCAATAGGTACAGCCGCGGTCACGAGTCTGTGATGTCGTAGTATAATATGTACAGTAGATCAAGTATAACTCGTATATTTAGATTAATTAGTAAATGTTTATCATCAATTTATACTACAGTGCGTCGAATAATATAAATCGTAATCAGTGTAATAAACACTTTTGTTGCTCACTGTACTCCTGAATACACGATACATTCACGTATTTTTACTAATTATTTTTTACTAGACTTCAAATGTTACATTCGCTTAAAATATTGTCTAGGATTTATACAGCCTGTTATCAAAATAATATTGCAAAACTTTTTATTTTACATATTATTGGTGTTACTCGTGGAGAGGGCCTAGGCCGACTTTCGTTATATGTTTAACTAGCGACCATAAAACTTACTTAAGAATCACTCTATCTATTAAAAAAAACCGTATCAAAATCCGTTGCGTAGTTTTAAAGATCTAAGCATACATAGGGACAGAACGTCGTCTGATTGGTTGATTTATTGGAGCAGGCCACTCGTTGTTGTAAAACAAATTCGTACTAAGCCCTCTCTTTTTATAACACGCTGTATACAAATGAATACTTTTGATCACGACTGTACTATCTAGTCCATTCTTATAATCTATATTTAACTATACCAGCTGAAGCTAAGAGTTGATCTACCCTTGAATTATATGAAGTTCCTTTCTTAGACATAATTCTGTCTGTTGATGACCTTATATTATTACGGTTTATAGAGAAGAAATATTAGATTTTCTATTTTTGAAAAATCAGTAACACCAATCGATCGTCGTAAAAACATTGATAATTTTATTCCTTGTTGTGTAATTCAGGTAGATTATATTTAAAAACATGTATAACGTCAGCCATTGCATTTAAATTCATATACAGGATTACATGTTAAGTCGATCTAAATCTTGTAAGAGGTGTTAGTATCCATCATTCTTGACCGATTTGACTAAGGAACCCCATATTGTAAACTTAACTATTCTCAAGAGGCCTTTGAATTTCTTTCCTTAAATTTCCAGATTTTTGGCGATTGCTCCCTATTTTTATATTTTGTGTCACAATTTTGTTCAGTGTTTGCTATTTTTGTGTAGAAGACTAGTTGCTTAATGTTTTAAACCATAAAACTGCAATTAACTATACCAGCAGAGGCGTAGTAGACAAGGATTATTAAAACTCAAATATTTTTTTTTCTTAGTAAGATATTTTAAACAAATTCTATGACAGATGTTTTGCAGACATTTGATATAGTATCTACGATTTTTCAGCTTTTTAATAAGGTGCTAGGGTATATCATGCTAGGGTATTTTTAGGATTCGCGGATAAAACTCGACATCAAGACGCCAAACGAGCTGAATGAACAAAAAATCTGGTTCTAGCTTGCTTAACGATATACTATTAAACCTCATTTATGATATGTGGTTTCATCACAATATGGTTGCCTCGTACACTACATTAGGGCTGTCAGAGAGTGGCTAGACAAATATCCCAATAATGTCGGAATACTGAAACGCTACTCAATTTTAAGTCGTGCTTAAGTATAGTTCTATCTCTACAAATTCTTTGTAAAATGACAGAGATGGCACGATATTTGAGCACGACTTAAAATTGAGTAACGTTTCAGTATTCCGGCATAAGTGCCGCAGAGGACTTAACGACTTGCCGGGGCTCGGGCTCGAAGGGCAGGAGTAGGAACGGGGTGGTTTTTAGTCAGTAAGAGTTTGACACTCTCCCGCCTCAGAAGTCAATCGATGATTGTTCCCACTTAAAAAAAATCACAATAAGTGGATTGGAAGATGTGGACTATGGATGTGGATGTGGCCAGCCAGGAGGCCAGATTTGACCCGCATGGATTGATGTGCTGCAGAAGTACGATAAAATATTTACGGTTCTTCAACTTCCCGATAAGGTACAATAACATAAGGTATTATTAGAATGATCTAAATAAAAACGTTAAGTTTAGGATATTGGTTCCTTAGTCAAATCGGTCAGGATTGGTGGACACTACCACTTCTTAAAGGATTTAGGTCGACTTAACTTGTAACCCTGTAGAGACGTGCTTGAATATGCTTGGTTAATATGAACATTATTGGAATAATAATTTATTTATAACCGTGATCTTTAAAAAACGTTATCAAAAAAAAACATTGTCTTTGAATGCATTTCGTTGTCTCTTGCTTACATAATATTTTAATATGGACTCAATATTTTTTCTGGACTCAAGTCTTTTTGCCATAAGTAGTGTTAATCCTTCAAGAAAACTGTTAATATCGAATTACTAATAGCGCAAATTAATGGACAAAAATGTCTTATATTTTGCAGAAATAAATACAATTTTAAAATTTTAAAACAGTAATCGTATATTTGTATTATAACTTTCGTGAGACGTACTAATTTCATTATTATGCGATAAACATGTTTATTCACGTAACTGTTTGATGAGGAACTCTACTAGTTTCAACCTATAGCAGGGGCTCATATTCATGTGTATCATTCATCGACACACGACTGTCGCGCTACTATTCATAGTGTTGTAGAATGTTCGAATGAATAGCTTGAAACTATTTCAGTTCCTCGTCAATCAGTTACGTGAGTAAGCCGATAAACAATAATTAATCGTATAATACAATATTCTCCCCATTCTAATCTCTAATAAGGGACTTCATTGTCTTTTAAGACTGATTAATAATTATATTTTGAATCATTTTCAAAAGCTTATCTTTTCTTCCCGTTAACTGATTTCTTAGACCCCTTAACATATATCGAGAAAATATATAAAGATAATTATGACATTATCTGTAACATATATTTTGTATCTTATATGTAATTGATGGTGTAGATTGTAACATATCTAGTTGTGCGATTCTTCTGTATTGAAGTTCATTTATTGGATGGGTAATCTTTGATTATATATCTGTATTACTTATACTGATCTCCAATTCGCCTGCCAAGCTAGAGATGCGAACCGCGGATAACTTAACGAGTTGCCGGGGCTCCGGCTCGAAGTGCAGGAGTAGGAACGGGGTGGTTTTTAGTCAGTAAGAGTCTGACACTCCCTTTCACCTCATCCGGGCGAGAGAAGTCAATGTATGATTTTCCCCCCTCAAAAAAAAAAACCGTGGAGATGCACCTTTTTTATGTAGAAAAAATCCAGTAATGAAATTTCAGACTATTCATACTTACTTAAGCTAATATTTATGTGAAATGCTTATAAACAAACAATAGGGATGTAACGGGGTAAACTTAACAATCTATTTAGTCCGTCAGTTCGGTAATGAAAATATATTACACGCATATATTTTTATATTGTTGTATAACAAAACATTTCTTAGATAAAACGAATCAAAGTTAAGGAGTGGGGGCTAAAACGTCATTCCTACGTAGAAAACGTACATAGAAGTGACGTCACATGACATTTCAAATCAAATTGTCGTCGTGAAAAATTCTTGTCTAATGTTTTAAAATAATCTTCTAGACGGACATTCTAATAAAAATTAGCTATCTACCCTATTGAAGTAGGACAACATTTAGTATTAAATAGCACTTTTTCTGGTTCTATCCTTTACTGTCACTCAGAATTGCCATTGAATAAATTGAGAAAGAGCGGAGCCATGATTCCACACTACGGAATTGTTAAAATCTATCCCATTCCTATAATTTGGAAATTTTTATTGATACAGATATACTTACAAACACAGTCAACGTTCGGCCATTCTCCGATTTGACGTTTATAACTACCGTGACCATTTTTATTTTGACTTAAACATATAACATACAATAAATAAGTGAAAAAAATCAAAGATTCAAACAATTATTGGCGGTTTTGTACATAACGTGTTAATTGTATGGGGATTCATATCCTCTAACTCCATTATAGACTTTATTTCCGATGTTTAGAGACTACTTTTATATGAACTTTTCGGTACCAATGTATTAACGTTAAAATAAAAATGATCAAGGTAATTAGAAACGTCAAAACAAGAAAAGAAGAATGGTCCTATTTGTACTAAGAATTATTATAAATGTGAATGTTAAAAACAATATAGCTAAATACAACAAAAACAATATACTTGTTGCTTATTGCAATTTTGTTAACTAAATGAAATAATTATTATATAAAAAAATAATATCAGCATTTTTTAAACATTTCCTTCGGTTCGATTGAAATTATTATTTCTTCAGTGTTACGGGTATCTGTGTAGTTACACTTGTAAATATATTATCTATGTACACTAGTTTGACGTTGTCAAGATGACATTGACACATGTCATTTCGATATTTAAGATGAATTCATAGAGGAATAGAGTAGGCAAGCTAAATGAGGGCGATTCGGGTTTGTATATACGATAGCCAGCAGGTCAACTTCTCAAACTTCTCTATCACATCTTCAACTTTGTTGCATTGACCATAAAGTCGAAAATCCATTAAATAATTTTGACAAATTACTGGAGTAGATTGATCTGCTGGCCTTGGTAATTTGATGTTTTTTATAACGTATGGAGTTACAGATATGTAGTATGAATGTAAAGGGTATGTAGATTTGTTTATAATATCATTGGAATAAATGTGGTCTTAAAATCTAGTCTATTATATTATATAGCCTTACATCCTTATAGGCTTTTCCCTTAATTGAATCGTCCAAATATATTTTTCTTGTATGGTATTGGTAGAACAAAATCGAGTTTTTTACTGTGGTAGAAAGAGGTAGAAGATAGATATTAATATGGATATGTATTTTCTCTCTTTCTTTTTGATGTGTTCAGAAAAGTGTGAATTGTAGCTTGTCTCTATATCTCTATGTTAGACTTATTATTTTAGCATTAGAAATAACTAAACTTGTATATTATATTCTGTAATTAAGTTTATTTTTAGTATCTAATGAATATTTCAATAACTCCTTTTACAATATCGTTTCTAATATTAACAATAAACGACATAAAACTTGAAGTAGACTTTATTAAAATAATACAATTTTGTATTAGGTAATAGAAATCTTTTAACATAACCTGTTTTGTAAGATCGCAAAATTAGCCTTTATCATGATTTTAATTAAATAAGTCTCCAAAATAGTATACTATAAGTTTTTGCCTTCAATATGTCGAGATAAATATTTTATGATAATGTGAAAATACATGTTTCATAGTATTCACAATATTTTTAATTTCATTGAAGTAATTAAACCAGCACACACATCTTATTTATGGTCCTTTAAATTAACTCTCAGTGGCCAGCAGATAAACCTACTACAACCTGTCTTTATTAATTACATTTTCGGCTTTAAATCAATAGAATAAAGTTGAAGATGTAATAGAGAAATTTGACAGAAAAGGATAGAATGACGTACTGGTCACTGTTCAATTAAAAAAGGCATTTTTTTAGGAGGGGAAAGTCATCGTGTGTTCGCTCCCGCCTGGGTGAGGCGGGAGGAGTGTCAGACTCTTACTGACTAAAAACCACTCCGTTCCTTCTTCTGCACTTCGAGCCGGAGCCCCGGCAACCCGTTAGGTTCTCCGCGACTAATTAAAAAAGGCTGAGATTATAATGACTCACACCTTTTACATAGATAGTTTTAGGCATATAACTTAAATGAGTTAAATACGAGTTTATTTTACGAAAAGAAGAAGAAGAGCTCTTTGATCTTCTGTGATGGGGCCAATAGGGCTGATGTCGATACGGAGCTGCGGAGGACTTAACGGGTTACCGGGGCCCCGGCTCGAAGTGCAAGAGTAGGAACGGGGTGGTTTTTAGTCGGTAAGTGTCAGACACTCCCTCCTTACCCAGGCGGGAGAAGTTATTTGATGATAATCTCCCCCTAAAATACAAAAAAAAGTCCTCTGGTTTGATGAAACAGGCCAAATAAAGCGCTGAACGTGGTAAAGTTTCACGTTCGTTTGAACGAGTTTTCGTTAAACCAACTCGTAACTAAGCACTGAGTTCGAAACAAAATCCAGATGTGTAAATTATTTAATCACCAGCGCACTCGTGCATATATGCGGCCTTTTTGAATGAAAGCTCTGAATTCATGAGATGTTCAGAAGTGCGTTCTCCAGATGTGGACATACCATATAAATATATTTAGTCCGTCAGTAAGACGATAAAGAAATATCAGATACGTATTTTCAGTATAAAAAATACACCTACTACTTAATGTAACAAAGTGAATTTAGGAACTCGTTTTGGCTACGTTCCTCCTATATCTATTTTGCATGAAGAAGTGACGGCATGCGACATTTCAAATAAAAAAATATTATGTTAATGTTTCCTATAAATACGTCTTTGATTTTTTTTTGGTTTATCTTACTGACATTGTCATTCCTAATGCGCAAATGAGTAAAAATATTATATCTTAGTATGAAGTTAACTTGAAATGTATGTATGTGTGTTTGTTTGTTTAGCAAATGTTTCTTTCAACAAACTAATATAATAAACAAGTTTATTTATCTTTATTGTTAAGATATAGATTTAGTATAAGTAATAAGTATAAACAAAATATTAACATTTCCAATACGTCTAGCCGTGAACTATTACAGTTTGTTTAAATATTCATATACCTAGATAAGTTAATAGTAATATTTATAATTTAACGTATTATTTTTGTATTTGTTTTTCATAAATGTTACTCGGTATGTGACATAACTATCATTAAACAAACATACCGCCTACTTTTTCTAATTTGTCTTTAAATATATATTGTCTAAAATCTGTTAACAATTAAAATAACTTTTGTCACAAAATTGTCTGGTAATATAATACCTATTGTGAGACTTTAAATTGATTAAGTTGTACGGTTTACTCACGTATCTATTTGACGATGGTACTCGATTAGTTTCAAATCGAAACGGGGCTGATAATCATAAGCGCACGCAAGCAACGATACTGGCTTGAAACTAATCGAACACAGTCATGAGAGGCAGTAAATATAACTTGATAAATCACTTTTCCAGACAAATTAAATAAAACTGAGATGTAAAAAAATTTTCAAATAATTCACTTTTTTAATGAATTACCTAAGCACCGTTTTTTTTGACAATATTATTTTTAAGACAAGTTATAAAAAATAGGACTATATTATAATAAAATGTTATTGTCTTCAATGTGCCTTCCACATAATCACGATTTTTTCAAAAATATCAAACACCGTTGTACAGACGCCATTTTTGAATCTCGAATAGCCGTTATCGGTCGAATGTTTTCGAAATTTCCCTCCAAATTTTTCGTTTTTTCGTCCATTTTAAACGGATACCTACTTATTATTTTAGTGTTTACTTTCAAACCTTAATTTATTGATTTTAGTATTAGTATCTAGTATTTTTTCTTTTTTTAATTACAGTAAGTAGCAGGTAAATTAAAATAATTCAAGGGCGAAATTAAAATTACGACTTGATGAGTTTTCTGTTGATTTTGCTTCATATGGACTATACGGTATGTTCTAAATGTCATACAGTTTTGCATTTTAAAGAATAGTTTTATTCTTATTGAATTATTCACTAAGTATCTTCGTGCAATCCCTTTGAACTAGTCTTAATGAGAAGTTGTCTTGGAAACTATAATTTTAAAAAATCTCGCATGAAAATGGCATTTAATGAAGTTGTTTTGACAAATAGCATGTTTGAAATTACTTGTATTGTTTAACACGTTAACTGCCGCGTAGGTCACCGGTGACCTACGTTAGCGGAGGATTTGCCTTCAGCAGTTTTCGGTCGGCAGTCAGGCTTAATCAAGATTTATAATATAATTGATCATTTCATGATTTAAGATAAACCAATAAAGAAGTTTTTAGCCCTTCCCGTTTTTGTTAAAGTGCACTTCTTATATTTATCGGTCCCATCGGACTCACTTTGAATTCAATTTTGTCATAATTATTAGTAAAATAGACGTAACAAATTAATTAAGGTTTCATTCAAATAATTAGTTTCCATTACTTACTCATGTTAGAAATCTGCTAAATCACTTAACTGTCACTCTCTTGCGCACTTTCATAGTATAATTAAGAGTCAATTTATACTAGCATAGCGTATAAATACTCAATCTGAAATGTCACAATAGTCATCCTTAATTCCACAAAGTAGAGCACATATTCCTTTTAAGATAAAACAATATCCTAACTTAGCGCATTCAAAATAATTTGCGCAAGAACACTGCTGAAGGAATATGTGCATTACTGGTAAAGTAATAAAGATGAATTTGCTATGTGACATTTCAGACTGACGCTTCAATGCGCTACGAGTTTGCGCAAGTATGAATTAACCCTTACGTTCCGATAACGTGATTATATGTAAGCCTTGGTGATTATTTTGTATAAATTTATTTGTAAAACTTTTGTAAATATATGTATAGACAATGTTAAATATTTCTACGTTAAATGTTAGTTAAAAGCTATAATTGTTGTAAGGCATTGAATAATGAAATAAATGTGGAAACGGATGGTGGGAGTTTATTATGACTTTTTCATTTATTACTGTTGGTCCTGCTGTTATTATTTTTATTCTTGATGTTTCTATTGTTATAATAGTTATAGGTACTACTGTTAACGAACAAATAAAGAATTATGGGGCCATAGTCTAGATAAGATGGTCTAAGTAGTAAGATTTTATTTTATACCTATAAGTATTTGAATCCTATTGCAGTAATAATTTTAGAAATTATGTAATATGCTATGCTTTGATACATAGGTAGACCAGACGGAATAGGTTGCTTGCTTATAAAAAGATGAGCTCCATCGTAGGCTGCATCATCGTGCACCACCAGGCGAGATAGTGGCCAAATGTCGCCCCAATCACAAGATACGATGTATGAAACAATTTGCTTCCTCTAACTAACAATAATGAAAAAGGTACTTAATAATAATATTTCTTTACAATTACAACAGGCTCTGACATTGAATTATGACTTGCAAATCCCGAGTTTTAATGCTTTCCTAATAGCGTTTACAGTAATTAATTGACTATTTATGTTTTATTCGCAAAAAATCGTATTTTAATATTGTGATAATATTAACACGTTAATCGCCGCGGAGGTCACCGGTGACCTACGTTAGCGGAGGATTTGCCTTCAGCAGTTTTCTTTCGGCAGTCAAAGGCTTAATAATATAATCAAAATATGGTGGCTCGGAGGTCTAAGACGTCCGCTTCTCATGCATGAGGGTGCGGTTTCGAAACCTAACAGCAACTACCAATATGACGTTTTCCGCGTTATATGTACTTTCTAAGATTATTTGGACATCAGTGATAAACGGCGAAGGAAAATATCGTGAGGAAACCCAGATTTTATCATTTATAATTATGAGTCTGAAATCAATCGCCAACTTGCATTGAGCATGCGTGGTGATTAATCCTCAAACCTCCGCGTGAGAAGAGGCCTTTGGTTAGTAGTGCCTACTTATAGGCTGTTGGTGTGTGTAAATAATAATAATCAAACAATGGTAACCGTTTTTATTATTTAATAATTTATTTTTATACTAGTCTCACAAGTGGTTGGCCTTGGTTCTGTTTGATTTTATTAACATTTATTGTTGTTTAATTGTTTGACCGAGTGTTTTTAACTTGGCCATTATAGTGCGATATTTAATTAGGAAATATGGGGTTACCCGGAACGCTTTCCGGGAGTTTTGAAAGTGGGCAATTTTTTGATTTTGATGTGCTCTTTTCGATTTCCATTTTGCACCTTTGTGTGTGCGCCGTCATTTTGGAAAAATGGCGGCAATAAAATCTACAAAATTGGCGATTTTCAAAACCCGGACAATTTTTCAGGTAAAACTACCAAATTACTGAACTATTAACTTTATAATAAAGTTATTAACTTTATATATATGTACCTACATAATATTACATACTACCTAACTCTATAAATAACATTGTTCGTCTATTTCATGAAGGTTAAAATCACCCATACAACAATATTTACATTAAAACGATAATAAAACACATAAAATTAAAATCGCTATTGTCTTACCAAAAATTCATCTACAATTTTCTCACGTTCATAATTGTTACTTAGTATTTACTGTTCTTATTTATTTTCTGAACCCAAGTTTATGCTATGGTCTTGTTTGATCATGTCACTAGCTTTTTCAGCTATCATGATCACTGGGGCATTTGTGTTCCCACTTGTGAGAGACGGCATTATACTGGCATCCACTATTCTTAACCCTTCGACACCCCTGACCCGTAACCTTTCATCTACCACTCCCTGACCTTCCACACCCATCTTGCAAGTACTGACAGCATGATACTGAGTAGTAGCCAAGTTTAAAACATAACATCTCCAGTACTCATGACTACCGAAAGTAAAAGCTACACATTCATCAAGTTTGAGATCTATTACTTCAGCCTCTATCTCTTTAAAATACGTTGTGTTGATGACAGTAATGTAATCTTCAATGTATTTTGCAAAGTCTTCCAAATCGTCCTCGTTGCTGAAGTAGCCAGAGTAGATGAGAGGACTGTCTTCAGGGTTTGCACTTCGCAGTTTGATACTACCTCTAGATTTTGGGTGAAGATGAGTAACTAGAGAGAATAGGGCTCCTCTGGTTTGAGTTTCATCAGCTATAACAATGATGGAATTGTCTTTTATTGAAAACGTATCCGAACACAATAAAGGCGGCAAAAGTGCCGCAGTAGGCGTAGGTATAGCAGTAATCTGATAATCTGGATAGCCTTGAGACTTGTTCAGTGCTACGAAACCCAAAAATGATGCCATCGGAAAACGGCTTGTTTCTCCTAAAGGTTTAATATTGTCTAATATTGATAAAAATTTCTTCTTACCACTAATTAATATAGGAACTAATGCGTGATCCTGCATATTTTGTCCGACGTTTGGCGAATCTAGAACTATGTCTATTTTCATTTCTTCTAAGTGATCTTTAGGACCTATTCCGGACAGCATCATTAATTGCGGAGTATTAATGGCTCCAGCTGATAGTATGACTTCGTTTCTTGCATTCAGTTTTATTATTTGTCCTCCAGGAAGTCTTGCTTCAACGCCTATTGCTCGTTTATTTTTGTTTACGAGAATTTTTCTCACGAGTGTATTTTTCAATACGTGAAGATTTTTCCTGTTTTTTATAGGACTTAGGAATGCATTGGCAGTATTTTGTCGAGTTTTCTCATCGGACGTAAAGCTAGACATACCATATCCTAACTGCTGGTGTCCATTATAATCCAGAAGAATATCATGGCCTTGTTCTCTGAAGGCGTTTAAGTAATCTTTGGTCACATCTCCCCAATCCGGTTGTGTGACGGTTAAGAACCCTTCTGAGCCATGTAAATTAGCTGCATCGCTTTTTATTAAGAATTCATCTTTAATATTTTCACTTTTCCTGAAGTATGTGGTGACATGATCCCAGTTCCAACCTTCGTTGCCATCTTGGGCCCATCTATCGTAGTCTTTTTGATTCCCTCTTACGTAAAACATGAAGTTTGTCCCGCTGGATCCCCCGAGCATTTTACCTCTTCGGTTGTGGATGGTTTTTGTTTTGAGCCCTTGGCTAGAGTATCCATCGTCGACTGTGAAGAAGTTCCAGTCAGGTAGAGCGGCGGCTACTATTACAGATAAGCCTGGAATCTGAAATGAGGATTTAAAGTTGGACTCTCGCCAATTGATGATTATGGCAATCTCATACAGGTTCCTTTTAAATAAAGGAAGCATGATTGTCGTCAGACGACCTTATCTGGGTCCAAAAATACAAGAGCTTATAATATTTAGAAATGGATACAGCACTTACAAGAGAAGCTGTTGGCGGATCGTCTCCTGCTTCAATCAGAAGGACATTCCAGTCAGAAACCTCTGTGAGTCGGTTTGCCAGCACACACCCAGCTGATCCCGCACCTACTATTATGAAGTCAAACGTTTGAGAATCTGAAACATGAGTGATTTACTTATAGAACAATTCAAATGGTGATTGATAACAAAACCAATTTTTTCCATAGTTATGCATTCGATGTAATGAGAGGAGAGCTCATGATCATAACATACTGGGCATCGTTCCAGGCTCCATTCAAGAACGACGGATTTTCAAAAGTCTAATAGGTACCTACCAGGGTTGTTGCAAATATCAGCATCAGCATCAGCATCAGCGGAATATCAGCATTATTGTACACATCAGCATCAGCATCAGCATCCGCATTAATTGTTGCTGATGTTAGATGCTGATGTTCAAAGTTCGTATGGCGACATGAACGGCAGGGGGCGGAGTTAATGGCACGTGCTGCTGTCGCTTCCCAGTTTTGGCCCAACAAAATACATATATTTCATAACATTTCGTCAATCAATATTGTAAGCATTGCAAGCAAAGTGCAGTACCTATCCTGTCACCTCCGCCTGACTAGCAAACAGTTATTCAGCAGTGCCGGCATTATACAAACCTACCCGCAACAGACTGCAAGCTGAAAAAGCAGCTCAGTTCTTGTTTTTAAAATACAACTTGACATTAATAGAATTCCAGTATTAATAATAGGTAATTTATTACTTAACTAGTTTTTACGTATTTGTTGATTGTTTTTCTTCATTAAAAAGTTATAGAATTATTAAAATATATCTTTTATTAAAAGTAGGTCGATGAAAATATAATATTTAGGTACCTAAAAATGTATAAAATTGAGTAGGTATAAAAAAAACTTAAAATCAGCATCAGCATCAGCATCAGCTGATGTAAATTACAATAAATCAGCATCAGCATCAGCATCCGCTGATGTGACAAAATCCTGCATCAGCAACAACCCTGGTACCTACTTTAGCCGATTCGGTAATTGCGCTTTGCGATCGCTCGGCCAAGAAGACAGTCAAACAAAACTAATTAAAATAATAATATTGGGTAATTTGCCGTACTTATTTCAATATCGGTATTGTAATAATAATATATAAGTAGGTATTGTTAAAAGTGATGTCATTTCCTCTAAAAACTTGGTGATGTTCCAGGGTAGCCTGCGAAATTAAATTTTTCGTAAGTGTTTTGCAAATTACGGCTCCGTATCGAATACTATACGGAGCTGTACCTCTATATATTTAGCACACATATTTGATACAATAGTAATGACTATAATGACAGACTTAGTCTAAGGCGAAAGTCAAAGTCAAAGTCAAAAGCATTTATTTCAATTAAACCAGGGTTTGGTACTTTTGAAACGTCAACAAATACAAAATAAATAATAGTCTGTCAGTCAGTCCGTCAGTGAAATTAGGTGAAGCTAGGTGCTCATTCCAAAACGTAGATTCGAATGGAGAAGATCGAGCAAGAAACTCCATTCGTTACTCCTTTTAAAAAAAGTATGTTCTACAATGTCTCTGCGACAAAGTAATTCTACATAAACTTTCCATGACAAACAATAAATATGTATCTATTCTTTTTTATTTAAGAAAAATGTTGGCTCACACTAGATTTCCTCCTGCATCGTGGTTGCGTTTACAATTATACAAGTTCACATGCACATGACACCCAGACCCGAAACAACAATTTGTGGATCACACAGAGTTGCTCCGTGCGAAGATCGAACCCGCTAGACGTTAAGCGGCACGCGGTTACCCAGCCACCGCGCCAACCGTGCATGTTTAAACTTGTTAAACAATTCTAGTGTACCATTTTTTTTTTTATAAACTTAACGTTGTAGAACTTCTCCAAGTCACAGAGTTATGTGGATGGTTTTAATAAGTAAAAATAAATGCCTATTATTTAGTATAAACTTTATTTGATGTGAATTTTTCTAATGTAACATGTGTTTTCGCTCGATTCGTTACGTTGTTTTCACTATAGGTATTATCGGACAGTCTATACGAATGCACTATTGCAATATTTTTCTTTAAGATTATTGGGCACTCAAGTAGTTGCAAGGGGGATGTAAAATGAGGAAGAGATTCTTAATATTAAAAACCATATCAGTGTTAAGTTTCATTCAGATTCGATTAGCGATTCCTGATTCACGAGTGGGCAACAAAAATACATCTAAATGCTCAAAGTTTGACAGAATTATTAGAAGATTATATTCCTTAACTTACCCTGTACATTCGCTTGTGTTGGATATAAAGAGTGGTCTGTAGGGTACAGACTGACAATGGCAATCTGAACCAGCCGTATCAATGGAAATAACACTTTCACTTCGACCACAGAAATAGTATGTAGGATGCTCCTGAAATATTAAACTTCGGTCAGTAACAAGTACTTAATGTTTGCACTATGAAGAACACAAGAAAAGATACCAATGCCACAATTTGTTTGTATTGTTGTTGTATGCGCATTGCAGATAGCTAATCTAACTGTATATTTATTAAGTACCTAAGTAGTCATCATAACTTTTACGCTGTTCATGGGCTTCCACCAATGACAGGCCGGCTAGGCCGGGTAGACCGGTCGGCAGCGACGTGCATCCAGAAATTCCTTGTTATAAGGTGTTCACCTTGTAGGTGGATGTCCTTCGCTGTGCTTGCCGGTAAATACATATATTGTGAAATTTTTAAAATAATTTAATTATTACTCACTTAAACTGTAGTCCAATAAACATAATAAGTAGTGCAAAAACGACTCCATTAATTTTAATGCGCGGGAAAATAGTCATACTAGCCTCTTATTTTTTTTTTTCACTAAGCATAGGCACGCTTTTATTAGGATACGTCCGTTCCGTTCCGCCGATATTACAATAACATTAAAACTGCTAAATATTAATATATACTGGTTCTCTGTGGCTTTATAAATATACCAACAATGGAATAAAATTAACTTAGGACCCGTTCACAATGACATATGACGCAGACAGAACGCAGTTTTTGTGTAAATGTAATACCTACCTACCTCCTACCTCAATTATTAACTCACTCACACAGTCCACTCATACACACAAGTGAGAGTTGGAAAAAGATCTTCAGGGTTATATTTACGGTTACCTGCTGCATAGGTGCATAGGTATAATAAAATAAGCCCTTGTGCGCTTAATATCAATTTTTTTTTAAAACTGGTTTCGCGCCTTATGGAGTACCTTACCTTCAGTCTGTTTTCAAAAGCGGATCGATCAAAAACTGATTTACCTACTCAAGTATTCATTCTAGCTGAATATATTAACATTGTATTCATTAATAGTTTATGAGGTACTTTACTATCTTTAAGCACTTTCAGTATTTTGAGTAAAACACCTCGCGCTTGATATAATGATCCTTGGGTCAAGAGCTATCGGACTAAATGGGGCCCAATAGGGTTGATGCCGATACGGAGCCGTGGAGGACTTAACTTAATAGTTGCCGGGGCTCTGGCTCGAATAGCAGGCAGCAATCGGGGTAGTTTTCAATCAGGAAGAGTCTGAATCTCTCTGTTTCCTCACCTAAGGCGGTAAGAGTCATTGTATGATCATCCTGTAGTGTGTGTGCTACACCTCGCTCTATAAGTATTTGATGTTTCTTACATTGGTTAGTCTTCCTTGTATAAAGGTAACATTCACTGTTTATCAGAAGGTTCATATCCACAAATAAAAGTCCAATATGTGTCAAGTATATTTGTCTATTTATATATCTGTACGCGGTACAACTCCCGAGCGCGGACGGGACGCGACTGCCTAAGTCGGGGTTTTTGCAATCTCTACAGTAATGTATCCGCTACAATATTCCCCCTTTTACAAAAAAAAATATTACAATAATTTCCTTAAAATATAATTTAAACATAAGTGAAACCAGGGTACAGAAATTGTATGTCGAACAAAATACCTACCACTGCACACGATTGGTATTTGCTTATTCAGCTACTTGCCCATGTAGTGTGTCATGGTAGTACCTATGTTTACTTACTCTATCGCTCTTTGATTCTGAGAATTTAGCTTGACCTACTTTATTTATATAAAACATTTTAAACTTATGACAATTCTTAGGTTTTTTCAACTTATATAGAGGTACATTTTATATAGATTATTTTGGTCCAAATGAAAACATTACATTTTGATTACAATTTTAACACAGCAATTTTATGTAATATAGAATAATAATTGGGAAATATTTATACTACTTTACAGCACAAATTAGTAGGAAAAATGTTATTATAATTTTTATACAGTATGATTTCATTTTAGTTTACATCTGTTATCATTGTCTACGTTACCATGTCATGAACAAAAATATGATATTGTAATTATACAATAGTTGTATTTCCTCTGTTGTATATTCTGTGAACAATATGTATTTTTATAGAAAGATGTACATGAAACAAATTATATCTTTTTATAATAACTATCGTGAGACATACTAAATTAAGTAAAAACGCGGGTTACTCACGTGAATATACTGAGTTAGTTAGTTATTATAAAAACATAGCAAACCGGTACGGGACGGTAGGGCTAGAAAAAGTTAAAGAGTTTACGCGATTAAGATTGAAACGCAAGAAACTCGAATGTGGGTTGGATTTTATAGTGCAGTGTCGTGATAATGGTGTAGTGCCGAAATTCGCGCAAATCAAACCTATAAAATGCATTCGAGATTGCGATCGATTCTTCCGCGTCGCGAGTGAAAAATTACTGTGTCGCACAATATCCGACTACCGGCGCAAGTTAGTGTTCATCAACAACGGTATGTACGAGCTACACCTACAATTGTCGCGGATGTTGGATGCCGAATTATGGAGGGTTCTGGATACAATGACGTACAATCGAACGGAGAATATTGGGAAAAGTACAAGTCAGGGGCAACATGATAAATTGACACACCTTATACAATCTTGCAAGTACCCGCAATTTAAACATAAATTGCCGAACAATGGAAATGGGTCAAACACGGTTGTCAATTTGTCATCAAAACAACTATCAGCTGATGCTGTCAATGTACTTACCCGAGGCCTAAATTACGCGCCGGCACCTCGGAAATTACCTGTGGAGGATATCATAACAAATGTCGAAAATACAATCTTCCGGAATAGGATACCTCGCAGTGACGCCGAGTGCCTGCGTCAAGACGTTTCGTCATTATTGCGCAAGTCATCGCCACCTAAATCGAACATACCGGTGAAGGAGATGTCAGCACTCCGTGATTTGCGTAATGATTCGGATATCCTAGTGCTACCGGCGGACAAAGGCAATGCGACTGTGGTGGTCGATACGGAAGCGTATGAGCAGAAGATCACGCATATGCTTAGTGACACCACAGTATACAAGCAGGTGTCGTATGATCCGACTGCGAGGGTAACTACGAAAACTATCAAGTTACTGCAGAGCCTTAGTGACAAGGAACTGGTGGCACGTCTGCGCCCTCAAAACCCAACGCCACCTAAGATATACGGGTTGCCCAAAATCCACAAGCCAAACTGGCCCCTAAGACCAATAGTTAGTCAAATAGACGCACCTACCTACAACCTGTCGCGTCATTTGGCTACTATACTGCAACCGTTTACCGGTAAAACAAACACCTTTGTGAAGGACTCCCGCCATTTTGTCGCCTTATTGGAAGATGTTCGCCTCCAAGACACAGACATTATGATAAGTTTCGACATAACATCGCTATTCACAAATGTTCCTGTAGATGAAACGATATCTATAATTACCAACATACTTAAGGACACTGATTTACCTACTGGATACATCGCGTGTGTTAATCATTGTCTCACCACAGGTTACTTCCTGTGGAGAGGGGAATACTACCTGCAGGTGAACGGAGTGGCTATGGGGTCGCCACTGGCGCCGGTGGTGGCTAACATCTACATGGAGTGGTTTGAGGGTCAGGCCTTGGCATCCGCCCCGGTACGACCGCGACATTGGTGGAGGTATGTTGATGACGTGTTCGCGATCGTCAACCGGGAACATGTGGCTGAATTTGTGGGACACTTGAACTCAGTGCACGGCAGTATACAATTCACCACTGAAGAAGAGAGAGAAGGGATGTTGCCGTTCTTGGATGTCCTCGTAAGACGAGAAGAAAATGGTCGATTGTCACACACAGTGTATCGTAAACCGACACACACGGACCGGTACTTGCGAGCTGACTCACACCATCATCCCTCCCATCTAGCCGCTGTTCCCCGGACCTTGATAAACCGGGCGCTGAGTCTATGCGATCCCCAGTATATTGACGACGAATTTCACCACTTAAAACGGGTACTGGAAAACAATGGATACAACTGGCGTCAATGTACTCGACTTGCGAGCAGCTCGAGTAGGAAGCGACCGGCAGTTGCGGAACGGACTCCAGCGTTCTTACCATACGTGAAAGGAGTAACCGACAGAATCGGACACCTGCTTCGCCGTAAATACTGCATCAGGACGATCTTCCGCCCACCCGGTCAGCTAAGACAACTACTACGCTCACCTAAAGATAAGGATCCACTGGCTGTACCCGGAGTGTACATAATACCGTGCGACTGTGGCTCGAGTTACATCGGGGAAACTCGTCGCAACATCACAACCAGGCTAAAGGAACATATACGCAGCGTGAAGAAGATGGACATCCAGGCATCGGCAGTGGCTGAACATGTTTGTGGTACGGACGCGGCTCACTTCATACGTTTTGATAAGGTCTCCGTACTAGCGAGAGAAAAATACTTCGTTCCGCGAAAAGTGCGAGAGGCCATCGAGATCAGCCGACGACCGTGCTTCAACAGGGATGGTGGCTGGGCACTGCCACCCGCGTGGAAGCCGAGCTTGGAGTCTTCGTCGATCCACAGCGTCTCCAGTCTGGAGTGTGACACAGTAAGCGTTATATGCAACACTGACTTTGTGCCGAACCCGGAATCGAACCCACGACCCGCGCCGCTGGTGAACGTACCGTGCGCTTTAGCTTCGTCCAACGCGCTGCCGGAGTTGGAAGCAAACGCTCGTAGTGTCCGACAGAGGGCGCGTTGGGCTCGCAGCGCAGGTGGCAACACCGAGGCGAGCGCCAACGCCAGCCAGTGAGCTGCGCGACGTCGCCGCGACCGCGCACGCTGCTCATGAGGAAGAACCCCTCTGTGGTTCGAAACTAGTAGAGCTTTTCTCAGTATATTCACGTGAGTAACCCGCGTTTTTACTTAAATTATATCTTTATCATTAGTGAGACATCTTTTATTATTTACTATAACAATTTTTTATTTTACGTACCATATCACACTGTTTGAGCCTGAACTTGTTGCTGAATGACTGTTCCCATTTCTTTTCGCAGACTACTTTGTACTCGTCTTTTACATTTTCCACAAATCATTTATAAGATAACACATACCTACTATAAATATTACTATAACCAATAGCGTTATACTCGACGTTTTAATATGACTTTCTACACTAGTCCAATCAGAATTGTTAGCTCCGTTTTGGGCTATTATTATTTCTTCTTGTTTACTGTAACTTTTGCCCATTTTGATTATCATTGACAAATAAATTTTTAAGTTAAAAATCGTCTGCTCTTGATGGTTTTCAATTATAAAAGAATACTTATTTTTAATATTTTTAGCATGTTACAATAATAATGCAAAATTGTCTTTTGCATTGTATTTGCAATACTTGCAAAATTTTACTTAGTTAGCTACTTATACTAAATATATCTATTGGGCGTTTTAACAACGCGCCCACTCCGTGTGGTCCAAGTTTTAGGCGCTACGGCCGTTTTACAAAATACAACTTTTTTGTTTGATGTTAAAGGTTTGTCTACAATTGCGTTTTTCTCTATAACATGTTGATTTCTTACATCTACTTCTTGCTTATTCTCTATCAATTCCTGACCTGGATGTTGAGGTTCGTATAATGTATACGCTGGTTTTAACCTGTCGATTGACACTCGTGCTTTTCTATTCGGCATTTTTAACAAACAAATGTTTGTCACCGCGACTTATGACGCTGTAAGGGCCGTCATATGGGGGCTGTAAAGATTTCCTAACCATGTCGTTTCTAACAAATACTTGACCGCATGTCTTCAAGTCTGAGTGAATGAAAATAGGTCTACTATCGTTCTCGCGTTGGCCTTGATTTGAGGTTACTAATTACTTCCCTAAGTTGCCTAACGTATTCGTGTTCGTCACGAAAAACTTTTTGTGTATTCTCGAAAAACTCACCTGGAAGTCTTATGTTTGTACCATGCACCATTTCTGACGCACTAATACGTCGTCGACGTCTGCACGCGGGGCTACTCGTAAACCAAACATTACCGTACTTAATTCCTGTAACCAAAATAGGTGATTCATTCTAGCCATTAAACTGTCAAACACCAAGCGGTCACCGGTGACCGCTACCTATTGTTCTATAATTGTGTCTACAAAACCGGTACTCGACGAGTTAATGCTGCTTTAAGTGATCTATGCCATCGTTCTACCTTACCGTTACTTTGTGGATGAAAACTAGTAGTTCTAATTTTATTTATACCTAGTAGTTTCATCATTTGTTGGAATAGATTACTTTCGAACTGAGTTCCCTGATCACTTGTTAATTTAGTCGGACATTCGAATCGAACTATCCATCCGTCATAAATTGTTTTTGCCTCGGTTTCTGTAGCTAGTTTCCCGTTTTCCAGGCGCAAGGTTGCTCACACGCTCGCGCGTTCCCTCGATAACGGAAATGATGCTTACACAGCCAATTCGGATCTTCTGATGTCATTCTGGGTCTGGATGACGATCTTGAGTGATTCCTGAAACCACTTCCACGACCGCGTCCTCTAAATGCATTTCGTCGATGCTGCTGTCGCTTTGACTTCTTCGCGTAAAGCCGCGATCCAGTGGCGTGCACAGGTTTTCGAGACAGGGTAGGCAACTAAATATCGTATGATTAAACCCCTCTCCCCCCGCCGGTCATACAATCATGCTCACACAAGATAGGTACATGTACATAATACATTTCGAAAAGTGCGTTCAAGAATATTGTGGTGTATTCTTTCGCCAAATTACATACACTGACAACTCGCGTATTTTTTGTGAAGTACTTCATCAGCTATTGAATAAGCCAACAAAACTTACAAATAATGAAGGATCTATTATTTATTTTAATAATAAGGCATAAATTTGATGAACCAAATTTCATTATGGAATTGTTTAGTTTAATCAATCTGTTCAAAATCATAATATATTACGAATTTAAGAGCGTAGGTACCTACATTATGTCAACAAACAAAACAATAACAAGCGCGGCCGGCTGTGGCCGAGCCGGCCGAGTCTATGCGGTACATATGTTATTACTACATTACATAATTATTAATAATAAATTAATATGTGAATCAGTACAACCCGAAGTCTAAGTTGATATTTTTAAGAATTATCAAACAATAAACAAGAAAGTCAAATAAAAGATCCATTATAGTACATATTTACATTACCTACCTTTTACTTGGGTCAATTCTCGTAACTCGAGTACACCTCTGCCTATGGTCTTTACCTGAATCTAGTCCGATAAAGGACATTTTCTTGCGAAATCTTACTGTTTTTACTTTCAACAAACACATAAAATTACCTATTATTCACACACACTTCACAATCGAATAATATAGGTACTTGTACTAGAAACTGATAAACAAATACACTATTTGAAAAACCTACACATATATTTAACTACTACTACACATTTATGCAACTTTATGTTTAAAACTAATTCCTAATAATTTAAACGAAAACATAAACAAAGCGATCGCACATCACATGAAAACAATATGGCCGAAAACATTGGAAACGAATTGAAGTCATTACCAATAGTCAATTGAGTGTTTATTATAAAAAAATGTAGCTTAAAAATTAAGGTAATGCAGCGTTTAATTTAAAAAAAACAAAGGTTAATTTAGTAAGTCAAATGAAATTGCATCATCGTCTTAAACCAATATTTCATACTAAAAAACATTCATTCATATAATTTGAAACGTTGTAAATGGCGCCATCTTGAAGTTTCAATAACTTCCTTTTAACTTTTATAATAATAAAGTCAACTCCTCGTTTAAAATTTCTATAAACCGACAACGCGTAAAAATGTTAAGCTTTAATTAAAACACTTGAAACATATTTGTTAAATACGCATTTATAAAAATACATTCGCATTATATCGAACGAGTTCAGAAGTTTCAACAAAAAATTCAATAGATGGCGCTGATGTACTCCATTCATCAGTACTTTACGATATACAGATTTTATCAATTTAAAACCTTTTATAATTTAATTGTTTTTAAAAATACAATAACTTGTTGCTGTTTTATTGTTTTAGAATTCTTAATAAAATACGATCGTTTTCCAAGTGATGAACGAACGGTCCTCTAATTTTTTAGTTGCAAACATTTTGTCAATCAACAGGAATCGTGTAATATAATTATGAATGGTTATTCTGTACCGTGACTATGGTCGTGAACTTCACGCATGCGCGGTGCATACTTTTGGTACATTTCTTTTGTGACGTCAGTACTACCAACCAAGATTTAAGGAATAGTGGCGCATGCGTGGTGCGTGCGGGGCGCATTCATTACTTTACAAAGGCGCGTATTTATGTTAGCCGTTTTTTTACAAACTTTTATTATATTATTGAATTTTAATAAACGCGTTTGTACATTTTATGTATGTTATATATTCACGATATTTATAGGTAGGCAAAGCCTTTTCGCCTATATGGACTGCACGCCACTGCCGCGATCTCCATACTCATCTTGTTCATCTGCGTCATTAAATCAGTGATTGGTAACTGATCATTGCTGCTGGTAGTGCTGACTTCCGCGATCTCACCGGTTTTTATCGTTTCCGTTTTTTTATCTGCCATTTTCGCTAGGTTTTCTAGGTCTTGGTCCTGGCTGACTGCGAGCACGGCCCGTACATTGGATGGTAATCTAGCTAGCCACAAACTGTGTAAGGATTTCTCTGATACTGGTGTATTTCTTCCTAGCTCTCGCATTCGTCGCAGAAGAAAAGATGGTTTCTGTGACCCGAGCTCCATTTCACTGACGAGTTTTTGAAATTGCCTGTCGGCGCTTTCCTCATTTACTTGTAGCAGTCGCTCCTTGAGTGCATCATACTTATTAGTCTCCGGTGACAAAAAAAGAATATCACTTACTTGCTGCAACGCTTCGCACTTCAATTTCGTGATTATCAGGTCTGCTTTGGCCACGTCGCCCAATTTTTGTGATCGAATAATGCCCTCTAATTGAACGAACCAGAGACGAGGCATGTGTGTCCAGAATTCGGGTATCCTTGACGCTATAGTGATAGCCGACATGTCCTGTCTTTCCATGCTCGATACTTTGGAATTACTATCGTTAGTTGTTCCGGACTCCATTGTGTGCTGTACAGCCAAGGCCTGTTTTGTTTCCGCTGCCGCCACTGATCCGCCTTGCTTCGCCGGAGGTGGAGAAGAAAACATTTGAACAATGTCGTATGCGCCTGCTGTCCTTCCGAGGCCGTCCTCGTCGGAAGGGAGTTGCGTCCTAGTCTTTTTATAAGGTCACTGTTTTATCGAAATCACAAAGTTTTTTTGTATCACGTCGGGTTCACCACTTTGATGTTTCTTACATTGGTTAGTCTTCCTTGTATAAAGGTAACATTCACTGTTTATCAGAAAGTTCATATCCACAAATAAAAGTCCAATATGTGTCAAGTATATTAATCTATTTATATATCTGTACGCGATACAACTCCCGAGCGCGGACGGGACGCGACTGCCTAAGTCGGGGTTTTTGCAATCTCTACAGTAATGTATCCGCTACAAGTAAGTATTACAAGTTAGTAATTTTTTTTAAGTTTTTATTTCACAATATCCATAACTTTTCGTACCTACTCGTGCTCAGCACTGCCCGCGTGGTAGCACTGGCGGGGTCGCCATGCAATGTGGAGCAATGAGGGAGACGTCTTGTTCTTAGGAATAACTTTAATTAAGTGTCTTAAGAACTAACTTACACTACTTATTTATAGGGCGAGGTGACACACACACACTACAATCCCCTTTAAAAAAAGGTTGAAATGTTTGCAAAATATTATTTATTTTATACCCAAGGCGATGCTCCTAGTCACCAAATAAATCTTCCGATCGATTTCGATCATGGTGGCCGGTCTGCCTAACTAGACTAGGCCAGGAGATATTATGGTGCACAAGTATGTACGGAAACACAGGTGCGATCTGTTTCCTCACTTTCTGAACCCGATGGGATGGCAGACCAACACGACCGGAGAGAGATCAGGCGCAGGATCAACAGCTTACGTGCTTTCCGAAGCACGGGGGTGAAACATCACCGAACTTCCTGTATCCGGGCTAAAAATGGTTATTTTACTCAGAAAATACATATCACTTTTTGGCCGGCGTGGGAATCGAACTCGCGGCACTTTGCACAGCAGCCGGTCACCCAACCACTGCGCTCACCGTGCAGAGGTAATTAGTCCCTAAGCTAAGGCATTACGACGTATTGTAACAAACTAATAATAAATACTTAACACCTAAAGTATAACCTTTGAATTGAATCTGAGAAGTAGTTATGCAAAAATAATTTATCTGAAGACTTTATGGAAAGTAGCCATTATAAGTAAGCCCTATGCAATCAGTAGCAACAAAGTAATATTTTTATTGGTTTACATTTTTACAGTTTACTGACTGGATGTTTTTACTAATAAGTCCTTGCACCCTTCATTTATTTTTAAACGAAGAGATTTGATCTCTTTTTGAACGAACACCAATCCTGTCATCTGTCAGTGTCACATTGACATTTGTCAAAGCATACTCATCTGATTTATTTTGTCATGTGTTTTTGTAGTAAACTTTTTTGAATTATAGCACCAAAATGTCGAAATTGCGTCCTATATTGAATCTATCCTATTGCCGGTATTACAGTGTAAAGCAGGCGAAGAAGAAATTACCTATAATAACGTGTAAACGGCCGGAATTCAATCATTATGAAGGTCAGAGTTACAGTAAGTTTGACGGGATTCCTCTGGCTTCAAAGGGTTGGATGAGCAAAAAATCCAAGAACGATTTCTTTATAATTTACGGGAATGCGAATCAAAAGGAAGAAAAACCAGTTTACAAGAAGAGTTTCGAAGAAATCGGTGTTTCTCCTGCTTTAATTGAGGTTATGTCAGAGCAAGGGTTTACTTTGCCGACTGCTATTCAAACAAAGGCGATCCCTTCTATATTAAGTGGTACCAACACTGTAATGACCGCGGAGACTGGTTGTGGGAAGACTTTGGCATATTTGTTGCCAATATTCCAACATATCTTGGAGTGGAAGCCGAGCATTAAAGAAGAGTTCAACAGTCCTTTAGCTGTTGTTATAACTCCGAGCAGAGAATTGGGTAAGTCTCTAGGGCCTAATATATATGTTGTGTACTAAGTACACTTGGATTTTTTTATAATACAGCATGTCTTTGAAATGTTGTCTTGATTGTATTGTATTGATTGCCTTCCATTAAAACACCATCTAACTTCCAATACAACTTTTTTCAGCTACACAAGTAGGAGAGGTGGCTCAAAACATGGCCCAGCGTCTAAACCTAAACGTAACCACCCTTGTAGGAGGTCGCACGAAACAGAAAATGTTGAACCCACCAATAGAATACTGTGATATTCTAGTCACAACGCTTGGTGCATACAGCAAACTGGTTACAACCGGTATTTTTAAGATCAATAACGTTCATCACATAGTTCTCGATGAAGCGGATACTTTGTTAGATGACAGTTTCATTGAAAAAGTTTCACATTTATTGAAGAAATTCCCCGTAAGTAGAATTATAATATTTTCACACGCAACATTGCTTACTCTGTAATGTTCATTCTTTCAATGTCTCTTATTTATGAAATTTAACTCCAGTTATTCAGATCATTTTTACTGTTATTTTACTACTATCAAAGTCAAATTTTTAAAAACCCAGTATTCCTTTGCCCGACCCGGGAACTGAACCCGAGACCCCTTGCCCGACAGTCGCACTTGCGACCACTCGGCCAACGAGGCAGTCATATTAAACATTTAAATATTAAAGAAATAATGTCAGTCTGTCGATCAGTCCTTGAATGAATCTATTTGATTAATATTACAGATTCAACACAAAGTCCAGATCCAGACACCACCAGCGGGCTGTCAGATAACATTTGTGAGTGCGACCATGCCTCACGAGCTGCCAGCAGCAGTGAATTCCTTTGTAGACCCTGAGTCCTTGAAGACAGTCACCACCAGCAACATCCACCGGATACTGCCTCATGTTCCACACAAGTGAGTGATTTGTTACATTGTACACCTCTTGTCTGTTAAATCACCAGCTCCCGGTATAAACACATTATGGCCCACAACTGTCAACGGACAAGAGGATAATAGAATGCCAAGTGACTGCAAATTGACAAGACTTCTTGAATTAACTTTTTATTTCGTCTTGTTTTTTATTTGTGTCAAAAGTCTACCCTTCGCGGAGAACCTAACGGGTTACCGGTGCTCCGGATCGACGTGCAGGAGAAGGTTTGGGTGGTTGTTAGTCAGTAAAAGTCTGACACTCCCTCTCGCCTCGCCCAGGCGGGAGCAGTCATTCGATGACTCTCGCCCCTTAAAAAAACCGTGCCCAAATTAACTCTGGTCAGTCTTGCTTTAGTCAGGTTAGTAGTGCATGTTGTACGCATTTTCAGCATAAATGCCTACATCTTTTAGTGCATATTTACTTACTTACTTACTAGCTACTTCCGCGCGGTTTCACACGCTCTGCTCAGCTCCTATTGGTCGTAGCGTGATGTTTTATAGCCTATAGCCATCCTCGATAAATGCACTATCAAACACAAAAAGAATTATTCAAATCAGACTTGTACTTATGGAGATTAGCACGTTCAAACAAACAAACAAACAAAAAAGCAAACTCTTCCGCTTTATTTAATAGTATAAGAAATAAGATTAATAAGAATGGTGGTTAACTATCCATCCAAATACTGACTTAATTATCTATCCTCTTTTCCAGGTTCATGCGACTCGGTAAAGCCCAGAAACCAGTAGAACTGCTCCGGTTAGTTCAAGCGGACATGAATCAAAATCGTCCAGTAATGATCTTCTCCAACAAGACGTCCACTTGCGACTTTGTATCGATGTTTCTAAACGAGAATAATATCGAATGTGTTAATATAAATGGGCAGATGGCGGTTGCTTTGAAATTGGGCAAATTTGATCTCTATAAAAGTGGGAAGGTCAATGCTCTGTCTTGTACTGATATTGCTTCAAGAGGATTGGATACTTTAAGGGTAAGTTTTACTTTTTTTTAGTTTAACTTTATAGTAGGAGATCCCGCCTTGAACGACCTTCACCGAGATGCTTATTTGATGAAACTTATTTTATATTCAATTTAATATGTCAATAATTATATTCCGTATGGGTTGCCTAATAAATTTCAGTCCAGAACATGACTAATTATTAATTTAAAAAATATATTTTTTCAAATGTTTCACCGGTTTGACTATTAAACAAATTCCATTTCAATCGAAAGTATGAAGCCCATAGAATATGGAAACGTTAGGTTGCCTATTGTATTCCAGTCATAACTCTCGGGTTGCCAGGTCTAAACAGGTAAATTTATAGTAGGATTTTGCAACGGTCTGATAATTTAATCAAATTTAATTAAAAATAAAGATTATTTAATTATGAACACGGTAAAATAGGGTTGCCTGCGAAAAATCAGTCCTGAATTAGGGTTGTCGAATTTTAAAAAGTGAAATATTGCCGCGAGTGAATAGGTAAGACTGAGAGGTCCCAAGCAACCGTTCCGTGCGTTAGAAGAGGACAGAGCATAACAGCTGCTTTTTAATGCTGCT